CTTTCTTTTTCGTCATTCCGGGGAAACAGACCAGCCCCTCAAGACTTTGGAGGCGTCGTCAAGGAAAGAGGTGACTGGACCACGCGCTTGCCAGACGATGAGCGTGGCTGCTCTAGGTACTTGTACTTACGCAAGTGTGTAGGGGTGCTCGAGGTACGGCTGCGGCAGGAGCATCGACTGCAGTTCATCAGGTACCTGCTAGCTGGCGCATAGGGTATCTGGGTACGTACTTGCACCCACGCCCAGACGGGACCCGCTTCTCCCACTCCACCAACAGGTATACGTACAGATACTGCAGCGGTACCTGACCTCGTGGCGGCAACCAAAAAAATGCGAGTCTCCCGCGCCCCCGGCACATCGTCACCCGGCCACTTGGTCGCTGCTGGACTATGAAGAAGGCGGGCAAGAACGAAACAAGCAGCGATGCAAGAGCAACAATTGTTACAGAGCGGTTGGCGGTTAGTAGTCGGCTGGTGAAAGGTAGGTGGCAGGCCGGCAGGCAGGCGGAAGTGTATCACAGACAATGAAGACAGAAACACTGAATCAACGACCCTTCAATCTATCATTCGCTTCATGTTTGTCTCGTTTCAAACCTCGGGTGTTTTCCCACGCACCTTTTGGCTTTGCCGTCTTTTCTCTCCCTCATTGGTTTAGGTATTTGGCCTAGGACGTGCTTCTTGCCTCCCTTCAACCAGCCCGGTCCTCGACTCCCCGAAACATGGACGCCGTCTATCATTCAACCATTTCGTCTACATGCCTCTCGCTCACCTTCGACGTCGTTCGAGTGATGTCAGGGACTCAGGTACAACAAACATGCAACCGCCACCCGTGACGGGAAGCAACGCATCCACCGGCTCGACAATGGAGCACCAGGCCAAGGAATCAAGTGACAGCAACAGTCCCCCATGTGGACCCGTGTGAGGTCCGCACCAGCTGCAGCATGGAAAGGTCAGATAACACCGTCCGTCCGTGACTCCGTTTGAAGGACGAGGCGACCTTGACGACATAAATTGCTTCCGCGTGGTTGTCCCCATCCCCTCACCCAGCCGCTGCACTTTGACAACAGGCATAAGTCCTCGCATTCCGTCCTTGCGCCGAGGCCCGGCCGGGACCAACTCGAAGCGCGCAGCAAAAGTCTGACCGGCCAATTTACTCGACTTCATCTTCCCGCTCCTTGAGGCCCTAATAAAACCATTCAGTTGTCGGCGACTGCGACGACAGGGAGACACCACAATTGCAACACATAGGTTGCCGGCGCACCAATTCGAATGAATGCGGGCACAGCGTGGGCGGTGGCATGGCAGTATTGGAATGCTGGAGGTGGGGTTCCTCCTCGGGCACACATTAGTTGCTGCATAGTCAACGTTACGCGCAACGAATCCAATCGATCACCGGCCACGTTCCGGCCGCAAAAGGGCAGGCCAGGAAGCACAAGGCCCGGTGAGATCAGCCAGCGCCAGCACGAGTCCCAACAGCCACCGGCGTTACGGTCGTCAGCCCGCCTCACCTTGCCATGCCATGCCAGCGAAGCAAAGAAAGATGCAGAGAAGCCTTCCGAATACCCACGGCTGCGTTCCCTGTACTGACTCGTCAATTCCCTTTATTCGCTTCTGCTTAGCTCGACAGCCATGGGAAGCCTCAGCAACATACCGCACAGTGACAAGATGGCCACCCTCTGGTTTCGACCCGTCTGTCAGGTTCTTCCCCGGGTATCAAAGTCAGCAATCGTTGTCAATCATAAAACGAGCGACATTTGCCTCCGTTCGAGGCCCGGGAGGTTGGGCACTAGCCGCTACAGGCTCAGTGCGTCCACCCCCAAACCGTCCTGACTTGGAACTTGTGTGTCTGTCAGGTCATGGAGAGGGCACATTCTGCAGTCAAGGTACATGCCCGGTACTCAGCCCGCTCGGGAGTAACTCCAGCGCAATACAAGAGCAGCACGAGACAGGAGACCATCTCTCACCTGAGCATTGCGCTGTACTGTAGCACGGAAGTGGATCAGTCTTGTCCCTTCGATTACAAATGCGGGATTGTCGACCGGGGGAGGAATTCAACCAACGGGCTGCATCAAGCATGTGCGCTATCCCAATCTCTATCATGGTACCAACGAAGTGCCGAAAGGATAAGATTGAGTGGCCTCGTCCGTCGCATTCTTCTTCTCATTATTGCCTGTTCGCGGATGCAAGTATATCCGTGTCACAACCAAACGGATTGAAATGCCTTGCAGACAGCAGCAGCGGAAAGGCCATGGTCGGCGACGGACCGACGAGTGGAGGGGGGAACATGTAACAATGTTACAGTTGAGACGGACGGGCGAGGACCACGTTCGGGTGGCAGATCCGCTAACTAAGGTCGACCTGGGACTAGGCTGGGCCGGACAAAGCGGTTTTGCCCTCGAGAGTGTCCGCCATCCAGTTCCCATTAAGGTTCGCGGCCGTGTGTCAAGTTTGGACGGATAGCCCGTCGTTCAAAACATTTTGAGGCAGTGAAGCAGCCAGGCGTTCTCTTTCGATGGCGAGCGCAGGGCGTCGTGCTACCTACTTGTCGAGATATTCCGCCTTTGTCCACAAAAGGCGGATGGTTGCATCGTGTTTCTATCCCCCACAGAACAGAAACATGAATCAAAGATGTTGATCTAGAAGGATGGCAGCTCATGGGAACGGCGAGACAAAGACAAAAGGAAATTGAAGTCTGCCACATGCTGCCCGCTACCGTTTCCGTTACCCGTTGAGCAGCCGCCAGCAAGTGCCCTTTTCCTCCCTTTTCTTTAATAACAATACTCGTAACAATATGACAGTGATGGAGAGGCCGAGGGAGACGAATTGCAAGGGGCAAGGATACTTCCCAACGAGTGGGAACAGCGCGAGGAGGTCAGGCAGAGGGTGGCTACATGGTAGATCCAATCAACGAATGACAGGGAACCTTGTGCGACTGAAGGGGAAAAGAGAGGCCAAAAACACAAATGCAAATACCACCTACCCTCCTCGGGACGGCGAGGTGCTGCAGTCACTTGGTTTTCCGATGCAATGCGGGCGGGAAATGGCCCGGTTGTCTCTGGCTCTTTCGGCGTGTTCGTCTCACAATCTGCTGCTTGAGGGTGTGTTTTACAGTTTCTTCTTCATTTATTACGGTTTCTTCATGGGCCTTTTCCTATCAACGTCATGCTGTCAAGTGGAACTGGACCTCGTGACTGGGAAACGAGGATGGAGGGAGAGCAGAGAGAGGCTCAGAGGGATACGGTGAAGGTTAAAATGGACTTAGGGATTGATTGTTTGGCACGAGGTGAGGGACCGCCTGCTACCGGATGCAATGCCGGGTTGATTGTCGGTGTCGTACCTTTTGCCCATGGCAAGATCCCCATTCCCCTGGGTCGGTGGTTCTGGTCCATCTATTGCCCACACTATTGACAAGCGTGTGGTGCTTCTTTGGCGGTGTTGTGTTGTCTCGCGGCCACTGTTCAATGTCTTCGCCCTTGTTGTCTTTCCCATTACCCATGTGGCGCCACGACTGCGCGACGGGACTGAACTCGCAGATAGGCCCCTCTTCACCCACCCAGAAGGACCCAGGAACGTCTCGTCCAGTCAGTCACTCTGTGGGAGAGGGCAGCCTTCCTCGCCTTGACTTTCTCTCTGTGCCGGCCAGTATCGAGCGCTGTCGTTCCTCGGGCGGCACGCAGGCAGCCGGCAGCAGAGCCGTCTAGAGTTGGGCGCCTTTCTCACTCACAGTCCCTGCTCTCGTTCAACTCCCTCGGCCACCCTTGTCTTCCTCTTGTGGTCGACTGGGACTGGGTGCCTTACTTAGACGTTCCTTTCTCGTGGATCCCGGCACCACCCCGACCACCCCTGTCGTACCCGCCAAAAAGGTTAGGGGCACCAGAGGTACCAGCACCACAGCCAGGCGTCGGCCCACAGTGACCAGACCCCCCGGCCGCGACCGGTTCTCCAGCCAGTCATGGCCGCCGGTTGCCCATGAGATCGCACCTAGGGTGGGTCCCCTGCTTCCTCTTCTGCCCCGTCACCCAGAGTGTCTTCCCTCCCCTCCCTCCTTCGCTCTGAGAACTCAGCCGATGAACTCAGCAATGTACACGCCAAGTACCCGTTATTGGCCAGGCGTGGCATCCTGTCTCGCATGGGGATGGGTACACGCTCTCTACCTGCAGCACCCCAGGGGCCTTGACCACTGCTCCAGTAGTTACAGCGTGCTCCAGCGGCCTTTAGGGGATCACCCCAGCAGGCAACCAGCCCGGCCTACAATGGTCTCGAAGTATTCAACGAGGTACCAGCACAAAGTAGTAGGGGTGGGTGCCCTGCCTGCTGCGTCTGGAGGCGGCCGTGGTGGGCGGCCCTGCTGCGGTCCGGCCTGCTCTGGGCTCACTCACACACACACACACTCTCACACTCACTCAAGTCCTCTGGGCTGTCTCTCGCTCGCTCTGTGCAAGTTCCATGGCCCACCCTCTTTTTGGCTGGGGGACATGGGTTGGGCTGACTGGCTGTGCTTCCATTTCCGCTACTCTTCCTCCTGTTCCTGATCTCGACTTCTTTCCCTCACCCTCACTCCTCCTCGCCTTCTCTGCCTTCAAGGCAACTTTCCCACTTGTTGTTGCTATCGTGGTGAACTCGTTATTTTGTACACCCCTTCAGACGAATCAAAGGGGAGCCCGCTGCCTCGAGCACACCGCCATCGTCCCCTCCCCATTCACTGCTCGCGAAGCCGGAAAAAGCCCCCCCCCCCATTCGACTCGCCATGACAATGTGACGTCCTGCCTACCTGCGCCCCATAATCCGCCTGCGAGAATAACATACGCAACTTGGAAGTGTGCAGCAACACAACCACCCAACCCGACAACGTCTCCTCTCCTTTCCCAACTACCCAATTCGACCTCATACCAGCTGTTCGCCGTCTTGCTACATCCTCCAAGCCGAGCTGGAGCATGCAAGTTGCGACCAGCATTCGACACAACCGATTCGCGTGACCCGAGAGAGAAAGAGAGATACACGATGCCTTCGCTCAAGGTCCCGGATTCCGGCCTCATTCTTGAGAGCTCGGCCGCCTCGGGCAACCCTGTACCGCCCCAGGCCTTCACCATCAACCTATCCGACAATGTCCTCGAGGACATGATCAAGTGTGTGCAAAGTGGTGAAGACCTCCAATTGTCCCTGGGGACTAGCCCGGTAAGTAGAGTTCCCAACACCCGTTCCCTGCCGACTCCCTGAACCGCTCGATACAATCCTATTGTCTTGCCGGCGGGAAGAGCTGGCACTTGGGATTATCTTGCGTGCATAACAAACGGTGCACCGCTACCGGTCGGACACATGCCGCAACCTCGAGGCGTTTCCAAACGAACCCTGTCAACCGGCGGTAGTGCTGTCTTTGCAATTGTGCTAACGAGTCTGCGTCCCCAAGACATTGCTCTACGGCTCTAGCTCCCACATCCTTTCCCCGATCCCCGAACCATACTCACACGACCTCTTCCTCACGAAACCCTTCGAGTCGACCAAACGAGCTACACGATTACCACAAACCTCGTCGTTATGGAAAAAGCTGCCCGGCCCCGAGGCCCCCAAGAAGGCCGAGCAAGCCAAGGCGAAGGGTGCCCCTTCGACCTCGTCGTCCGGCATGGACTCGGATATAGAGAATCTGCAGAACTCCATCGCCGCGGCGACGGCATCGAAGAAGCAGTATGTGGATGGTGACTGGGTCAGGCTGGTCATGGCACAACTAACATGGGCAACAGGTCACGGGTCATGGATAGGTTAGCGCCGGCGAACAACAAGAAGGCCACGGGAAAGACGGCCAAGTCTAAGCTGCTGTCGAGCATGGCGTCCTACGGCAACGGCGGCGGCAAGTCTTCCCCTTCGGGGTCACCGGCTCTGGTAGCCGTCAGCTCACCGTCGACGAATCCAGTCTTTTCATCTTCGCAACAGGTTGTTGAGAAATTCAAGGAGCAAAGGTCAATGATTGTCCACGAGCTGGCGGTGCAGGACCGGCCGTACGACTACTTGGAAAGTCTCTGGGAGGGCAAAGAGGAAGACTTCAAGCCCGCCCTGGAGAAGGTAGCCCAGTTCGAGCCGGACACGCAAATGTGGGCGTTGAGAAAGCATTACTGGAGAGAGTTGGATGTGTGGAAGTACGACTATGATACCCAAGATACCCGTCAGAAGGCGATCGACAACGCCATCCGACAGTTTGACAAGATGCGGTTGGCAACGACAGAGACCGAGTGGCAGAAGCTCCTACCGAGGGAGGAACGAGGAAAGGGCAAGATCCTCAGCAAGTTGCAGGCGAATATCGCTAAGGCTTCTTCCGCCGCACCCCCACCGAAGATCAAGGTCAGCGACGCAACAAGCGACAACGGTGACGAAGACGTCCTTAAGACCAAGGGCGGCGAAACAATGTCACGGTCATCATCGAACCCGCTACCGGCGAAACCGAAGAAGCCCGCCGACTCCCAGGTCAAGCGCCTCTTGTCGACGAACAAGAAAGCCGCGACGCCCAAGGCTGCGCCGAGCAAGAGCAAGGAGAAGGCACCTGCGGCCAGCAAGAACGGCCGTGTTCTTTCCGCAGAATTCGTCACCAACTCTGACTCGGATTCCGAGTCTTCAGAGGACAAGCCAATGGCAAGCATTGTGGCCTCCAAGCCTAGACCAGCACCTGCTGCTGCGCCTGCCCCCAAGAAGAAGCCCGAGGCACCTGCACCGAAGCCGAAGATTGCTGTGCCCAAGCCGAAACCCAGACCGGCTGAGAAGCTGGCAGAGCGACCAGCGGAGAGATCAATTGAGCGGCCCAAGGAAAAGTCACCTCAGCCTCCTCGGGAGACCATCAAGGCGACCAGGGCACAGCCGCCTAAGCGACGGCGAGAAGAGGAGGCAGACGACAGCAGCTCCAGCTCTGGCGCCCCCCTGGCCAAGCGCGCGAAGCCCAAGGCGCCGCTGATCAAGAAGGCACCCGTCAGCCTGAAGCAGCGCCCGGCAGACGCCTCGCATGCTTCGTCCCGCAACTCGTCTGGCGTTTCGTACAAGAGCAAGAACACCTCGCCAACCAAGTCCTCGCCATTGGCTTCGTCCCCACCAACGAATGCATCAGACCTCGAGCACTCGGCACCGCCCAAGAAGCGCAAGGTGGTGGAATCTTCCGACTCCAACGAAAGCGCCCGGACCAAGCCAGCCCCCAAGCGTCAACGCGGACTCAGCCCCGAGCTGGTGAGCAAGGCCGCGCGTTTCAAGGCGTTCTATGAAAAGTATGAGACTCTACACTGGGAGATTGCCGACATGCGCAACCCGCCCCAGGAGAAAATGGACGATCTCCTCGAGATGCGCGAGCGGCTCAAGAGCATGAAGACGGAAATCTACAGGGAGTGCCCACCTGCAATCGCGGTCGCTTAGAAGGGGACCAAGGATGGACACCCCAGACTGGTCGACGAGGCCAACGGATTGACGATGAAGATAGCTAAGAAGGGCACGGCGAAAAGAAAGATTTGATGATTTGGAAGGGATGGTTTTCTTTCACAAGCGATTAATTCTGGGGACATCTCGCCGGAATCCTGGACAGGACGGCCATATGAAAGCATCAGCAACAGCGAAATGATTTTCTCTCTCTTTATTTTATTATGCTTGCACGGGGATGGCATTTGCATCAAGAGGACGGAATGGGCATCGGCGACCAGCATATAGGATTGTATGGGCTCTGGAGAGGGGGGAAACCACAACTGGGACGCCGTAGATACGGGCCAGGATTATGTGCCTCTGGAGATAGTCATCTTTTTCCCCCGCCTCTTCACTGATTTTTTTGATACCAGGCAGTAGTCAACTACAGACGCATACAGAAACAGAAAAATAAAAATCATATCAAACACTGACTTGCCTACATGATTTGTCTCAATTGAAACTCTCCCTTGTCCGGGCTTGAGGCTCAAGGTGCCTGCTTCGCCTTGTGCAATGAACATCTGCGGGATCCTGTCGTAAAGTGAATAAGCCGTTTGTTTATGCAAAGTGACAACGTCATTTCCCCCTTGTTCCACGTTTTGCAAGCTGCAAGAGAGGCCTTGGTTGGCTTGGGAAATAAGAAAAATGGCCGTGCGCCGGGGGGCTCATTGCATAAGCATCGCAATCATGCAGGCTTGATATAGGACAGGCGAAAGAGATGGAAGGGGAAGGGGAGGAAAATCCGATGCCATTCCGTAATTTCTTTCCTTCCCTCAGGGCACTCTCCTCTTCTTTCTCTTCTTTTTTTGTTTACATACTGCACTTTCAGACGACTGGGGGGGAGGGGACCAAGGTGCCCACTCTGACGTCGTGATGTTTCCCTCTCTGCCCATTCTGTTCCGTTTTGTCGTTCGGGCGCTCCACAGGTAACTGGACCTTCCACTGTCAACGCCCTTTTTTTTTCCTGGAGCGGTTCCCACCAGAGCTCTTCCCCGCCCCATAATTGTCATTAATAATGCCTCGTAATATCGGCGGGCCGAGAGCTTGTGAGCTGGTGCTGGGCAGCACGGCTTTGTCAGCGATGGGAGCAGTTTCCGGAACTCAATCGAGGGAGGGCCAAAATAAGCATCTAAATAACAGTACGATGTATAGCGGATACGAAAGGTGGGCGGGCTGTTCTGGGCTTTTTTGGGGGGGTTTTTTTTTTACCTTGATAACCAAGTGTGTTCTTGGCTTGCCCCCATTCGCCTGTTTCCTCCTTTCGTGCTCCTGTAGGATTTGACTTTGGAAGCGCGCAAGTCTGGTTTGGGGCGAAAGTGTGTGTCGGCGTGGTGCTGAGGCTCTCACGGCCATGGGAGTTTCTCAAGGTCGCTCCAATGTACCCAGCAGCAATAAACGGGGGTCCCAGTCAGCCGGAGGACGGTGGGCAGGGATTGCTTTCCCCCTTTTCCTTTGGAAAGAGGGGGTCTCTTCCCTCTTTCCTCTCTTGCGCTGCTAAGGGATGAAGGGGTGGCCTCGTTGAGATGGTGGGAGAATACCATGTGAGGTTGCATCTTGCGCAAAGATGGGCGCAGGAGTTGCGCGTCTGCAGTTGCGTTTGCGCCGCCAGCCACAAACTCTCCAAACTTGAAGCGTTCGCTTCAAGTATCTTTCCGCCAACGGTCGCGAGAAAGGAGGGGTGACTTGTTTGCTCCGTGACGAAGCCACTCCCTCTCCCAAGTTTGTTGTTGTTGTTGAAGGATTTGCAGACGCAGGTGTCGATGCAATCCGATGTTTGCCGTTACTGGGAACATCACAAACTCAAGGCAAAAGCAGCAGGGGGTGGTTCCCTCCGCACCAAGCACACCTGCTTCTCTCCTTTGTTGGAAGCGACTAAGCGGGACAGAGCGGTGGGAGGGGATGGTCATGCCAAGCCCCGCTCGGGTCCCGGCCCGCCGCCGTTTATTAGCCTTTCCCGGGGGGTCGGGTCGTCGTGATGTGGAGGTGGTGGTGGTGGTGGCGGCGGTGTCGGATGGCCGGGTTGGGGCCAGGCCAGGTGCGACCTTGCACTGGCCAACCGACAACACGGATGGAATATCTCGAAAATCAAAGACGTCGGATTGAAGGCGTTACTCAAACTGTCTTTTTGGGGTCACCATCTGGCTTTGTGCTATTGGGGAAATCTTTCCCTTTGGAGTGTTGTCTGCTATAGCTGTAGAGTACCCCTGATGGTACTTCGTTGCGACGTAGGTCGCCCATGACAAAGAGCGGGGCAAAGGCGGCCTGACTGTAAAAGCTTCTGCAATGACTGATTGTCGACATCTCCCACCGGGTTGCTTGCTTGCTTTGGCATAGGACGACGGCATTTGCAGGGTATTTCTGCATGATCCAGCTTTGTCGACGCAACATCGCCTACCCGTCTTCGGCCTCACAGGCGGGAGAGAATGAGCAAGATGAACAAATGGTTTAGGGCGAGGCCATCTCCATTCATATACTCGTCTAGGTGAGGATGAAGTGAAGACCATACAAAAGGAAACCGGGTCGTCATCATCCACCACACCATAAAGACCCGGTGGTTCGTAAACGCAGAGGCCAAATAGCATTTACATAAACATTTGGGACCTTCCGCCTGCTGTGCGTGCTGCTGTTCATCGACGACCTTGACGACGAGCATACATCACGATTATTCAAAAGCAACCACCAGACAACACCGAGAGACATGCCCTACTACGAATATGATCACGCATACTACGATCGATCACCTAAGCCGTACAACCCACGGCGCTCGTCGCATTCGCCCTACCACTTCGGCGATCTCTACGCGGCGTTGCCTGGCGACCTCGTCTGGTCCACGGTGTACCCGGCTCACATCGATCGCGACATTCCGCCCTTCGTGGATCCCAGTTCGAGCGACCTCGAAGCCCCGCTGCCGGCCGAGCATCGCAAGCGTCGCGAGAAGAAGTGCGGTGGCCAAGCACAACCCAAGGGAGGAGGCGGCGAGGGAAGCCATGGCGTGACCGATCATAGCAAGCAGGCCGGCAAGACCCTCATAGTCACGCGCCAGGCTTCCCCCAACGCCAACCCTCAGGTTGCGATCCGCCTCCGCGAGCGGCGACTTATCGAGATCAGACTCTTACTAAGCCAGCTCCACGCGCAGCTCGAGACGGCATATAATGTCTACAAGGCGCTCGATGACAAGTTCAAGAGCCATTGTGATACAGTCAAAAGCTTTGCCAACGCAGACACGTTGGACAGAATTTGGACCGACATGCTACGATTGGAGTTGAAGCAAGAGGAAGCCCAGGCCGATAGACCGGCCGACTTTGACTCTGTCATGACACAGATCGGCCTCTGCTTGCGACACCTCCAAGCCGCCGAGAAGGATAGGCTGCCCTCGGTTCATGGCCTTCACGAGAGGAACGCCGTCATCGAGCGCCAATTCAAAAACGTCATCAAGGCTGTCGAAGCAATCGTGGAGCTTGCTGGAAGAGCTCATGTGGATCATCTTGCTTGTGGGGATTTAATCTGGCACTTGAACAGGGCCTGGGCTTCGGCGGATACTGAATCTGTGGTGTGGAAAAGCCTCTTGGGCAGGCTACCCGCAGCGGAGAAGGCTTATGTAGCACCTGACGACAGCGACTAGCAGGTTGCGCAAGTGGCCAGGCGGAGTATAGCGGCGTACAGAGCAGTCACACAAATGTTGGTCAATAGAGAGCAGTCGATGATTTGATCGTCAGAGGGTGTGTTGGTCGAGCATTAGAACAGGTCGGTGAGTGCGAATGCGGAAATGGCGTCTGTGGGCGAATCACTGAGTGGGAGGTTCTCTAAATGAGAGGTTTGGTTATTCGTTAGCAGCATCCTTGGCCCACAAGAGCAATCACGCAAGAGACGTTGCTTACATGGAGAGAAAAAAAGGTGAAGCACCGTCCTCAACAGAATGATCGGAATTGAATTGTCAAGTCCCTGGCCAGCCAAAGCCGGCCAGGGTCCAGACGCTGCGTATCGCACTCAAGTGCTCTGCACAATCTTTTCGCAACGGCTCTCCCATAGGGACACCGAGTCCAAGATCCCCCATCTTCCCCGGCATCCCCGAGGGGGAGTCCGGGTATGCATGGGAGCGGCCCGGGCCCTGCTTTTCTGATGCCAATTGCAGACGTGAAGTCACGCCAGGCCCTCGCGGGCAGACCCGTCAATCCCGCACTAGGCAGGCGACATTGGGTGAGTGGTGTGAAGAAGTTACTCCGAATTTCTCATATGCCAGTGGTGAGAGACTCTCGCTTGCGCGCTAGTCTCTCCGTTTGTAGCATAGAAACGCAGCGTTGAAGAGGACGGTGCTTGAAGAAGGGGAAAAGAGGAGAAGAGTCAGAACCTGCGTTGGAAATCAAGCATTATATATGATTTTTCTGTGACGTGGGGTCACAGGGGCCGGTGGCAGCCTTGCAAATGAGGCTAACCAATCAGTGAGCTAGCTTCGCGGTACCTCGAGAGGAAAAGACCCTTCAAGGTCGACACCCCACCTGCCCGATCTAGATCCCATGTTTTGTGGAACTCGGAGCTTAGCGATAAGGATCCCTTATCGATGTGGCTGTCGCTGCTGCGTGTTTTGGTGATGGGGTCCTTGGGTAAGTCTAGACCGCCACAGAAAATTTCCCAGACTCTTTAATGCACGTCTCCTTTTTCTGACTTGTGGACAGCACGCGCCTCTTCTTTGTTCGGCGATATCTTCTTTCTCCTTCGTTTTGCGATTTTTCAAAGAGATTCACCACTTCTAAATAGACAACCGCACATAGACTTTTAATCAGCAACCATGTTACTCGAACCAAAGGACTTCCCGCAGATGTGGCAGAAACCGTCAAGTGATGACTTACTCAGCACACTGAAGCAACTGGAACTCAGCCCCCCGATATGGAGTCACAAACAGAGGCGATCCGACATCGTTCATGAGCAAGAGGCCACAGCCTATTTCCGGCGCGAAGTATCAATGTACCTGTCATCCATCATCAAGAGCGGTCTCTCCTGGATCGAGGACGACGATGAGAAGGAGGAAATCTGGTCAGAGGCCAGCCGTAGGATGACGGAGCGCTGTGGAAGAACAGGTATGTGAAGGACGGAGTTGCCACTTCTCAGACTCGGGCGCCCAGCCTCTTACGCAAAGTGTAGCCATGGGCGAAATCACACGGCGGTGGCCCTTTAGAGAAGACGCTCTCACGCCGACGTTCGAGCTCATCATCCGAGAGCCGCCCCTGACAGGCGACTCGCTCGGCCTCAAGACATGGGGCTCTTCGTACGTCTTGGCTCAGCACCTGCCGTCTATCGGATCGACTGCACTTTTCCGCCTCTTTGACGAGTCTCTCGGCCAGCCCCGGCCGTCCGTGTTGGAGTTGGGTTCCGGCACAGGCCTGCTCGGACTCGCGGCGGCGGCATTGTGGAAGGCCCACGTTATCTTGAGTGACTTACCCGATATTATGTCAAATCTGCGGCACAACGTCGAGGCCAACCGGGCGGCCGTGGAGAAGCTCGGCGGTTCACTGAACGCAGGAGCCCTTACCTGGGGTGGTTCAGGGGAAGACGAGGTTGACCAAGACTTGTTTGACAAGAAGAACCAGTTCAAGGTTTGCATGGTTGCGCCGCATGACCGGTCTAACTCACTCATATGTTTTACAGGTCGTCCTTGCCGCTGATCCTCTCTATGATGACTGTCATCCAGGCCTTCTGGCCGGCGCTTTTTCGGAACAGCTTTCGAATGAAGACGACGCACGCGCTGTTGTGATGGTCCCCTTGCGAGACGAAACGACGAAAGGGCTGTTGAAGGCATTCAGAGATGCCATGGGAAGCCAAGAGCTGCCTCTGGCCTGCATCGAAGAGGGAACTCTCGACGGCCAAGACGATTGGGGCGAGGCCGAGGAGGGCACCCAAGTGACATGTTGGTGGGGCATCTTTGCGCGCAACTAATAAGCATAACCCGCGAACGACTGTTATAGGATGAGAAAATCTGGAATGCCTTAGACGGTAAACGAAAGAAAGGAAAATACAAGACAAGATTGCTGGCATACACACCTAGCTATAGATCTAGACGTGCTCAATGAGATAAAGATGCAAGTAGAAGATGACTCGGCACCGTACTAAAAGGGCGGGTGACCGAATGGACAAACGACCTTCTCACCTTCCATCTGAACTCAAAAGCCTTATGCGCATAGCAAGAAGCAGCCGCTCTTGCCTTCCCTCGTGTATTGGCTCTACTTTACTATATCATATCCACCGTGACAACCTATCTTAGCGCCTGTCGTGAGATACGTTGTGAATCACTCGCTCTTGCTCCCATCTCATCGTTTCTCGTCTTCATTCACTGTCAACATTTGCCAGCAAGCTAATCACTTTCTCTGTTCTCATTCTCACACACACACACACACACACACACACACACACACACACATCCTGCTGCCGCACAGCTTGCCTCGGCACTCATAACCTTTTCAAATCCGACGACTTCACCAACCTAGCCAATCCCAAGAAACCAAAACGAAACACCAAAAACAATGGTTGGGCAGATCTCTTACACTGAGGAGCAGATCCTCTTCATCCTGGAACAGACTCTCGCCAACGAGAAGCGCGACGTCATCCTCCACGAGTACCAGAAGAAGTTTCACAAGTCTCTTTCCGTATCGCAGCTCCGATACGTTAAGTCCAAATACGGCCATGACCCTGAGTTTGGGTAAGCATAATTCTCTCTTGTTCTTGTCTGTTCTTTTGCCGATTGTTGTTTCCTTATGTTATCGTTAAAAATAAAGAAAATATGTGAATTTCTGATAATCATTCGGCAGTACGGCGATGGTCAATCGCAAGCTCCCAAAGAACGGTGGCAACCGGAAGACAGCAAAACCGCCCTTGCAAGAGTGAGCCGGCCCGAACAGCTTTTTGCTTTATCACATCAGCTGACATTACAAAGGGAAGCAGCTCAGTCTCTTCAACCTGTGAATAGAATCCCATTCTCGATTTTCAAACACCTGCCCCAGTCAAGCTCAGGTGACTCAGAGTCTGTGCCAGCAGAGTATCAAAATCTGCGATGTGTAGCAGACTGTACGAGCAGCCTTCCCGACAAACCCAGCACGTCCCAAAACTTGCCATCATTGGAGGAACAAGCGCAGTCGCAGCCACAAGACGAGGCCTTCCCACAATACCAGTCGCAAGCCAGTGCCCCAGAGCTCTCTGGGACATACTGGTTCGACCAGTATGCCCCGACGGCATACAAGACCCCTTACGGTTACCAGCCTGTTCTACACTACTACAACCAACTCTTATATCCCTCCACGGCGCAGAAGAGACAGCACGAAGAGTCTGTTAAGCTGCTTCCGGCTTTGACACCAAACCCGAAGCTCACAAGAGCATGGCATGATCCCTCGTACTTGCCTGCTACTGTCCATGAAACCGCCAGTGAGAGCGAGGCGAAGCGAACAAGACTGGAGCCGCAAGGAAACACTTTCACCCCGATACCAACGGCTACACCATCCCAGATGCCCATGAACGACCTTATGTACCAAGCCATGGAACAGAGTAGTACACACTCCTTCGACGTCGCCCATCCTGAAAGACCCATCACTCCTACAAACCCAACCGTGACGGGCAACGCCCTCTACACTGACGGTGACGAGAGCGAACTTTCGCCGTGCAGCCAATTGATTAAAGAGACAGACCCCGAAAACCGACCTGGAGATCCCATGCCGACGCCCCCGTCTCTCCAAATGCCCCGGGATTGGAACGACAACGCCTGCCCGAACGACACCTTAGCTCAGGAACCAGCATCAATGACAACTCCAATGTCTACGGCAGTTCTCTCCCCGCCAACATCTGCAGACGCGAGTCTCACGTTCTCGGATACAATTTGGAGTCAATTCTTCGACGAGACAGAATTCAGTCTCCAGAACAATCACGAAGTCAGTTTTTCTCACTCTCCTCAGCTCTACGAGGCCTACGACCAGACGCTGGACCCGGCGTTCGACCAAGTCATCGAAGATACTTCACAGACACCAGCCGGAGAATCCATTGCCGAGACGGGAATCAGTGGCTATGGATGGGCCGGCGAGAATCAAGGTCAGTCTGCCTCTGCTGCAATGACGGTACCGCAGCAGTTCGATTTCAGCAATGACGACAGTTTTTCCAGCAGCCTCGAAGACTTTGACTGGCGTGCTTGTTTCTCTCCTGGTAACCAGGCGTAGGGAGCTGATGCCCACCAGAGTCAGTCGGGTCCATCTGAGCAAGGCAACAACTTCGCTTTTCCACTTCAACTTCATACATTGGTGGGCTTCCATTGTCTTGGGTAGGCTAGATTGGGAGGGAGAAACGTACCAGAACGTTCACTAAGAGTAGCTAGGATACCCAAGTTCAGGCATGAATGCACGAGATCACGATACTTGGGCCAAGGAAAGGTAAACGGATGTAGGAGCCTGCATATTGATAGGTAGTTGGTGGTCATTGCGACACAGGCTATAATATATGATTTCTCTTTCCAGATATGGCCACAATATCCATTGTGACATGTGGTAAGAACGAACGACGCTTTCAAGCTCCCCTCCCCTTCACCTAGAGTTGGATAAATAAAATGATGATGTGCGATTTTCTAGCCTCCCAAAGTCCAAGTTCCCGGCGCCAAAATCCGTCCACGATGGGTATCTAGTGCAATAGAAACGAAGAAATGGGCACTCGCCTCCAGTGTTGTCATGTGTTCGTGTGATGCGCGTTGCGTATGTTTGGGTCGTGTAGAAATCCTTCCTAAACCAAATTTCGTTGAAAAACAAACCCCGCCCTTTATCCCTTCTTTAATCATGTTGAATAAGGACGGCAATACCATACTCGTTAAATAACCGATTCAGAGTCGTGAGAAACAGGGGAAGAAAATATGCAGAGGCCAGAGGTGCGGGAGAACAATGCTCAGATGGCGATAGTGGTCGACTTTCTTGACTCGCCTTCCTCCGGCGGGAAGCCAAACACTAGCTTGTAGAGGTCACGCAAGAAGCTGTACTGGTTGGCCCTCTGGCTCATGTAGTGGACACTCTTGGCCATGTCGTGCGCTGAGATGCGCTTCCCGCGGGCTGGGAGCAGTGATGATCCCCGGAAAGACGAGTCGGCCTGGACCAGGTTCTTGTAGTGCTGCAGGAGCGTCGAATGCGCCGGCAAAGACCCGAAGGACCCCGTGGGCATGTGCTTGACGAAGGCTTGCAGGGCTGCTTTCTCGCCCTTGCTGTCGAGGGCCGGGTCTCGGGCGAAGCCGACGTTCATGGCCGCCTTGATAATGAGGGCCTTGATTCGGCTGCTATTGCTGTCATCGCCCGCCGTGGTGGTCGTCGCCGTGCTCGATGTTTTATTGCTGCTCTGCGAGTAGCTGGACAGCTGGGACGCGCTGCTCGACCACCGTCCTCCGCGCCCGCTGTCTGACGTCGTGCCTAGAACGAGAATGTTTGGGACCCGAGGCGAGGAGCTCTCGGGTGAGATGGGTGTGTCTTCGAACTCCGTCACAGGAGTTTCGGGAACTGGAGGAGGCTTTCGGGGTCGTTCCTCGGGCAAACCCTTGTGGCTCTCCCTCTTTGAAAAGGAAGAGCGGTTCGAGGCTCTACTCTCGCCACGAGAAGGCTGATCGTACTGCTGCTGATGACCGAAGAAGCTGGTCTGGCTCGGTCGTGGGGTATTTCGGTCTGGTCGAACCTGGGTCCAACCGTCTCGGAACAAATCACAAAGCTCCCAGCAGGCCTGAACAGCTGAACACAGGAGCTCCTCGTCGGGTGCTCTACCGTCGCGCTTGTTTTGCCTCAGACTGAACAGCATTTCCGCGAGGGACCAGCACGCCTTCAATAGAGAGTCGGTCTCATCGGCCAGCTCGCTTCGCTGCTTCATCAGTCGATGACAAAGGGTGATGTAGAAATCCAATGTTCGCTCTCGGAAGGGCTCTGGAAGATTCTGGATATCCTGAGCGCTATATAGACTGGTACAGGGTCAGCTTCTAGCCCCAAAGATCGTCTTTTCAAGGCCAAACATACTGGTTGTTGAGTTCGAAACTAACTCGCAAAACGGAGTCGGCGACTTCGTCCTTCTTTTGCCGTACATCGAAGAGTGACTGGCAGAAATCGCGGCAGAGGTCAAGGTTCTCTCGCACGTGGTGGTCGTATACATCCTCGTCCCTGTTGTCATACAAACGTTGGCACAGCTTCCAGCATGCCATCCATGCTTTCTCATGTGCGTCAGGGGTCCCCGAACTGTTGAACATCCGTGTACGATGAATTGAGCTCAGATTGGCCAGGGTGTTGCAAAGAGTCCAGCATTCCTGAAGGGCTGTCCGCAATGCTCTGATCTCCGAATCTTCTTGGGGCAGGGCGGGGGTGGCGAAAGGTTCCTCATCGTAGTTTTCGGCATCAGTGTCTACCTCTCTCCCTTCGTCGATTTCTGGGTTGTGTTAGGCAGTCCAATAAGATTTAGGGTCGCGAAACGTACTCTCAAGGCTACTTGTGCTGCTGGATCTGAGTCGGGAAGACTCATTGAGCATATCCTGCAAGTCTTGAGCGCGGGGCGTCGCACTGTCTAAGCTGTATCTAACAGGTCTGATGTCGGTCGAGAGCGGAGGGGGAGTAGGTAGTCCAGGTGACCTAGACTGTTCCATTTCAGTAAGCAATTCGCGCTAAGCGATGACATCAATAGGCGTACCTTGATTGCATGTTCGGTTACGGACGGAAGGCTCATTGTGTCGGTTTTGGGCGATGACCTTTCGCTGGCTTGATCTGGCTTTACAGTCGGTTCCGTCGAAGCCTGCCCGATAATCAGTCACTGTTCCTGTCACTTAGGTCGATTGGCACTTACCCAACTGTGAAAGCTTTCTGGCGCATGTATGACTGAGACGGCCTCCTCGCTGCTACTCTGCCGCACATGGTCGGGAATGTTGGTAGAGAGCATCATGAGCTGTACTGTGTTAGTCACGCTGCATACCTTTACAAGTTGGAAAGTGGGTGTACCTGAGGATGCGGCGCCGGGTTGGTCTGTGTAGTACGAGCTTGTTGAACTTCATCCGCTTCCTCGTCCTCGATCTCGGTTGTTTCCGTACCAGTCGATGTCACAGGCGAAGGACCGACGATATCGCTTGGACTCATGAGGTTCAAATTCGTTGACGGAACTCTCTGAATGGATGACGGTCGGAGAGAGTTGCGGTTGGAGTGGTCTGAAGCGTTCGACGACCTGGAGTGATGTGTAAGTTCGTGGACGACTGTACGATGTCTACATGATGGCTTACATGTTGGCGAAAGGAGACTGGAACGACCCGTTGTCAGGGGACGAGACTGACATGTCGTTGTGGTGGGAGTAGCTAGATATTTGACTTCCAATAGACGAGCGGAGGGGGGCCTCGAGTGCCATGATCAGCCGAAGGGGCTTGTCGATATCGGCAACAACGTCTTGACTACGACACAAGAAGTGCTCAAAGCTGTCCAGCAGACTCGTAGTCGGCGCTTGTCAATCCGAAGAATGCCTCGAGCACCGCACGCAGCGCGCTTGTAGGTCGACTCAGCCGACTTCTGAGCCGCACTGGTCGAATTAGGTGCCTTGATCGTGGCGGCCGTCGAGGCGGAGGGACGAAGCTGTGCTGAGAAGGTCTCGTCGATAGCGGCCTAGAGATCACCAAAGCTTCCAGACGAGCAGCAACAGGCTTAAAGGTGAGGGAGCTCGAGAGCGAGAGGGTGGGGAGGGCAGTTTAAGAGGAGCTGTGCCTAGTCACTGTTACCTCAATGCTGGGTAGAGCGACGAATGGTAGGGTAACTGGGGGCTCCAGGCCGATCCTGGCCTCTCGTGTCTGTGCCTCGCTCACGCGAAATATCGACAGGGCCAGGCTTGGATTTGCTGCGCCGGGGCGGGTCTGCGCTTGCTGGTCGAGCAGCAGGGGTGCAACAACAGCGGTTCTGATGAGTGAAGGGTCGATTTATGGGGAAGATGCGTTGGATTGACCTGCGGACAACGCGACTAGTACCGCCTCGATGGGAGAGGTGGAGGGAAATGGGAGAGAGAGCGCACGAAGACGCCGGAGAACGGAATCAGGCTGAGCTGCGCGGTCCTGCGATTATGCTGCAATGTAGCTGTGGAGGGGCGGTTGAGAAGAGCTGCGGCTAAGATTCGACGAAACGGGTGACTAGCACGGCTCCACCGAATGCTTCGTCGTCTACTCGGTCTCGTGCAGCCGGGTAGGAGAAAGAACAACTGACAGGAAGGATGGATAGACAGGCAGATGGCGGTTGATTGAAACAACGCAGTGGATGGTGTGTGGGTGTTAAACCTCTACCGTACAGCCACAGGCGGCCCAACGCGGGCAGGTTGATGGTACAGGCAAACAGGAGAATACCAAATGTTCGATTGACCTGGAGACTGCGCCGTTTCTGCAGAGAAGGAGGCAGCAGCCGTCGTTGTATGCTCTTCGGGTTAACAACGAGCAAGACAAAATCGGGAAACGAGTTGTGGAGGAGAGTCAAGACAAAGCTGCCAAAAAGTTTAGGTGTTGTCTGAATGGCTGATCGAATTCCACTCCGCCTTATGGACAGGCACCTCCCATGGCAGGGTATCAGAAGGGGGGCACCTGAGAGGATCGTCGAAGAGTTCGCTGGCCGTTCTGCTGCGAAAGCGAGCGATCCGACAGGACGACCGGAAGAACACTAGCATCACAAGTCGTCGAGGTCGATGAGGCCAAGGCCGAGGCGTACGCTAGAAAAAGAAGACGAGAGAGGGAGAGAGCTCCACGAAGTGGGATCCAATCCGCGAGCTGGTTCGACTTTGACTGCGCGCTCTCCCTCAGTGGCACGCAACCACCATTTTGCCCTTTGCCCTCACTCTGCGAACTTGGCCCGGGTAAGGCAGGCACCGGCAAGCATGTCGAGGGCACTGGTGGGCCAGTCAGAGCTGCAGCTGCGCGTCTTCTCCCATGGTCATCGCAGCGCACCTCCTGACGGGTTGGACCAGTCAGAGGTGAGCACAAGGTGGTGTCGGTGGTCGAGAGGAGCGTCGTCAAGCTGTGGGCTGCATAAAGCAGACAGGCGTCGGCGCTTAGCAGAGATGGGGTCCCACTTCATCCAGCGAACCACAAGCACCCCTGCACTAGCCAGGGACCCACTTGCCATGGAAGGGTTGACCTTAAGTTTGGAGGAGGGGAGCGAGACGCAAGGGAAGCCCGGTAAGAAAAAGACTCAGGGTAGGCAGAGAGCGGGTGACAGGGCTTCTGTCCCGTACTCTCCACCGAGCGAAGGAACTAGGTAGGGCAGGGCGTGCCTTGGACCTCGAAAGCACTGAGAAGCAAGCGAACCAACGTGAGTTGAGGTGCCCTGAATGAAACCCCGTTCCAGTGAAAATCTGCGGCACTGAATTCGGATGATGTATAACTTGCTTGGTTGTGATAACTGTCGAATGAGAGGAAAATGAGGGGCAAGGTGAATGGGACGATCATGAATATAGTTCTGATAAGCAATCCGTCACTCGACGCTGTTGCTGATAATATACAAGGCCGGGCTCCCATTCCAGCCGAGTTCTCATGTTGCACCGAGATAGCTCTCTACCTCGCCTGTATTTCGAAGAAATTGCGGCCTGCAGCGACAAGATGTCTAGGCTGAGCCGGTGTGCTGGGCCCAACGTTATCAACCGCGGTCTGCATCCATGATGATCTGAAATGGGACTTTGGTCCCCCTTTGGACTGCGCGCAGTGCGCCTGCTTGCGTACCAAGGATGGATGGACGGATATCGCGCGCAGCCCTTCCCCAACCCCGTCCCTGTCCGTCTGTTCTGTAGGAAGAGTATGTCCAGAATGACCAGAACATGTCCAGGGCCAATCCGATGATGCCGTGTCATTGAAGACAAAAGAAACACAGTCACGCTGCCCAAAGGAGCTTGTGTTTGGTGTCTTGTTGTGTACATGTATGCGGATCTGGGGACCGTAACACGCATGTGTGCTCGTGAACGGCGCTGCCCGTCCGTCGTCGTGGTCACGTCTCCCGCCAGTCCCGGGGCAGGTTTGCCGCCTTGGTGAGACCGTGGACGAATAGCTTGGCCGCGCCCATCGCCAAGCGGGGATGAGCTGTTGGGAGCAGAAGTAAAAAACAGAGACAGACGCACGGCACAACGCTTGTTCACTCCCACCCGCGCCGGCTGCGGTAAGGTGTAGGTGATTTGTAACCTCATTTGCCGACTCCAGCGTGACGGAACCGAGTGTGGCCTCGACCGCGACACTCGACAAGGGTTCGGAGATGGTGGCCCGAGCTAGTCGGTTGACGAGTAAACAAAGCCCATGCATTCTTCCCCATTGTTCTTGAGCCAACGTGTGGTTGATGTTGCAAGCTCCGTGGAATTATGCCTAGTCGGGTCGGGAGGCGTCAGGCCAAGTGTTACCCGTCCTCTGGGTAAGGTAGGCAGGACGAGGAGGCTGGTAACGTGCTCGTCTACCATTCCCCAGGTTATTGCCGCGCGTGCAGTCATATGGAAGCCGATGTTTGTGGTCCTATGCCCTGGTAAAGTGAGAGACCAGGGTGTAAATTGGGTACCAACAAGGAGAAAGGAGGAACTGGAGATCAACTGTACACTAGAAGAGAATGGTGACTTACAACACGCGGCTTAAAACTCCATCCAAGTTCCCCGTCTCCCGCTTCTCCTCATATTCATGAAGATAAGGCTTCCCAAGTTCTGGGCCGGCAGTTCCTCAGGAATAGCAAAAACTTCCATCTGGAGGATGCCTGCGGGTTGTCAATGTAAAGGACGTGGAAAGTGCGACGCGGCGCAACTGGTGCTGCTGTTAACCGGAAAGTGGGCCCCCTTCTTCCTCTGATCGACTTCTACTGACACGCTAGGTCTGACAGGCCGCTCAAGCCTACCGTTTGCCATGGAGGGGAGCCTGGACCCATTAAATAACGGATTCGAATCCTACTGGCACGGCGGATACGTACCTTTCACCGTTGGTTGTGCTCAGGCCGTTGGTTCAACTCAAGTTCTCGGACTAGGACCGGACGACTTCACCCCTCATTTTTTGCACTACCCACTACCTCCATCATGTCCCTGTACTGGAGTCTCTCGTTCTTTCGTAGCCTTCTACATTGTATATCGCCAGGATGACCACGCCGTATGGCTACGAAGACAATATGAAACTTCCATGTCGTCCCTCCTCCTTTAATATCATTGTTTGTGGCAGCAAGGGGTTCAGTCTTCGAAAAGGGACGATATTTGGCGTCACCTTGCGACCCTCACTCCGGACTTATCCCGGCTATTATATCATCGATACTATAGGGCCATAAAGTTACATCTCATGCTCACTGTCTTGGACTGCAGGTCACGAAGGTGTCGACGAGTTGGAAAGAAGACCAGTCCAACCTCCCAACAGCAGCTGGCTGCCTTGTTGTCGGTCGAGGGTCCCCTGGCAGACCCCATGCCAAGTCCATCAATGTCTCGCAGCCATTTCTCTCACCTGATAACAATTCGTTTTGCGAACCATCTTGTGCTTAGCGAGCTCTTTGCTCAAGGTACCGCCCCATGTTGTTGGTCTGGGTTTAGCGGCACCCTGCCCTCGGTCCTCATTGCTGTTCCTTTCATGAAGAATCGTGTCCCAGCCATCAGTTTAGTGCGGTGATAACCCTGGATCTCATGCCGGTGTCTTCCATTAATCACAGCGCTAGCACAACTCCTGGAAACCCAAGCCAACCCAGACTCAGAAATCCGTACCCAGGCACCAGTTGCCGATCGCCGACCGGGGACCGGGTTGTTCATCCACCACCACTCTACACCGAGAAGGATCAAATACGATGTCAGATTTTGTCATTCTTGCAAATTCCTCACGATGACGAAGGAAAGTGGCCATAAACAAGCAGCAACAGACCTTCGTCTGTCATCTGCCGATTTTTGCGGTCTGGCCGCCGACATACAGGATTGCGATTCTCAAGTGGCGCCTCCGCTTGCCGTAAGGCATCCCAGAAGCCACGGCCGCATCACGCATGCAAGCCAACGCGCATAGGCGCCAACAAGCAGTTCCGCAGAACCTACGGCTCAAAGTTCCGGATCAGGCATCGCTTTCCCTCCTGCAACCAATATGAAGCTAGGGTTTCTTGCATACTGGGAACACGGGTCCATTCACCGGAGCGTTTGCGCGGCAAGTTGAATCCTTTCGCGGTTACGCCGATTCAAACTACTGCGTTTGAAGCAACACGATGGACTCATGCATAGGAATGTTGACCTCGATTCACCAAAGTTTGCCTGCCATCGAGCTGTTTCTTCGCGTCTTTGAGTCAGTCCGACGGACTTATCTCCAGACTCTGAACGCCGTGCAGCAAACCAAGACGTGTTGGAGGAACCCTGCGTTCCTTCGACAAATCATCAACGCCCACGAAATGGAGCTCGGCGGATATCGACCTAATTCGGAAATCTTGTTGGTGCACCTTGCGGCAAAAGCAGCACCGCACCGTTCCCAGACGCTCGGGTCCCGAAGCTAGCCACTGTACCAAGACTTTGTACATCGTTTTGCGCCGCTCCCTCGACGACTCATATCCTCTATGAGTCGTGAGAATCATAGGTTGTCAAGTAGGCGGGTCATCGGAATGAAGTGAGTATACTGTACATCTCAATCGACAATAGTGTTGGGCAGCGATGGCTGGGGTTATCTTAGGCTTTTAGGGAAAACCAAGCCGTCTTCTTTCGCTCTCCCGCTCTGTCGCCGAAGCCCAGCCCAATCGCGGAAAGTCATCATGTTTGGCCCCCAAAGTAAACTGGTGCGATGAACGCTGAGTGGTTGAGGCTCTTTGGTCTAAGAGGTGCATTGTATGTGACACTCGGTGTTCCCCTGCCCTGCCATCTAACGCATGGCTGGCTCAGCATGGCGTATTGGTGGTCAGCGATGGACGCTAGGCCGACTAGCATGAAGCTACGTTGTGTATCATGGTTATCTCCTTGCCTTGACCGCCATATCCAAAGACGCTCTCCCCGTCGACTCGGAACACGGTCCTATTAGCTCGCGGTAACCACGTTTGGGACTTATCATTGTTGGATGTTCCAATGCCTGTCTCTTAGATTGCCTGATATATCCACGTTCACTTTAGGAATCTAGTAAAGCAAGTGGTTGGTAAAGCCCTGGCGGTCCAGCAAACAAGACTGGTCAGACGGCTTGGAGCTTTTTTGTCATTGACCGGGACCCGACATGCGTTCTAGTCACATGATGAGATGCGCAGCGCCCAGCAGAACAACCCTTTTGGATTTTGTACCTTCACAACCAGGTTCTCAGCAACCTTCCCTGCCCTCAGTCGACTTCCTAGGGAGTATCGTCACACTGGGATCGGCCATGACGTTGACTTGGATGGCCGCCGTTTCCGTGCGATACTTTGTGGTGCCTCTACTGCAGACATCGCAATCTTGCATAGGATCAAAGAACGCGAGAAATCGACCATAGCCGTCTCATCGGCGCGGGATAACGTCGATGCTCTTCCATGGCTCAAGTGACCAACCGGCTGTTCTGGACACTGGGTAATATGCCCTTGTGTGGTTCCCTAACGCCTTGCAATGCTCTTAATTCCAAAACTCCATTCGTATTATCCTTTCCTAGACGAGTTTACGGGTTCAAGGACATCTTCTTCTCGTTGCGACCATCAGGAGTGTATCTGTAGTGGTTGTAAGTCTCAAGATGCGCCTAAGAGCGAGGGTTCGGCAGAATGCGTACTTTAGGAGCTTCTCGATAAGGTCGACGTGGGTCATGACCATGCGACGACAGCAATAACGCTTGAGGCCCAACTGATCCATCGCGTCGCTGTCGAAGTGCATGTCAGTATGCTTGGACCACACATAGTTGAATAATTGTACGTGACTCACCCATCAGTAATACCGTCGTCGATGAGCTTCAGGTAGCGCTCCCAGAGATCGCCGGTGACCTAGAGAAAAGTTAGAGACCAGATTGAGCCAAGACAAGTACTCGGCAAACTGACCTTTCCGCACGAGAAACAGCGAACAGGAATAATCATTTTGGCGGGGTTACTCGATGTAGAGACGTGTTGCAAATCGAGAAATCTCGGCGTAGGTTGGTGGTGTTGACCGTGTCTTGATTGTCGCGTGTTGCGCAGTTCCAGCTTTCGTCGTCGCTTGCAAATCGTCGCCGCCGCCAAAGAAACTTTGGTCCCATATGCGGTTCGAAGGCGGGAAGGTGCGAGCCTGCGAAAAGAAAATTCGTCGGCCCGCGAATGTTCCGCTCCTTATCTTATCAGTGTTGATTGTGGGGGAGCTCCACCAATTGCACGGCCTAGCGACAGAGCGGGACCAAAATTTCTCTGGGCTCTCGAACTTTTTTTCCAGGAAAAGACGAAGGGTCGTGTGTGTGCGAACAGAGCAGGAATTCCAAGCCAGACTGCCGAACGAACGTCTGAAGGCCGCAAACTTTCCCTTCCCTGTCCACCCGCCCCGGAAACCTACGAAGAGGTCGAACCCGTGTATTCACCAATTTCAACACAAATACACAATGGCCGGCCCGTCGACCCCGAGAAGTCGGGAGGATGCGAAGAAGAGGAAGAGAGAGCAGAACGAGAGGGATGGGCAAGCGAAGCGCCTTCGCCAGAGGGGGAAGCAGAGCCCCGGCAACCAACTGAAGAATGGGCAGGCAGACGCAGGCGACCTTCGCGACAATGCTTTGAACGTGTTGTCGCAGCTCCAGAAGAACCTTACGGACGACCAAATCGAAAGCGAGCTTGTCAAGCTTGGGAACACCGAGGCCCAGGAAGCAGGATGGCAGGTTTCACTGCCAATGGGAGGCCGTATGGCTGACATCGACCCCATCTTCGCGGAGAACGAGAAGTAGGTTCACCCGATGGCGGTATCATCGTCTGCGTCTAACATCAAACTAGGTACCTGATCCTCACTTACAACACCTCCTTGCAAATCTACTCTGTGGCCGAGTCCCTCCTGATCCGAAGAATCGCCCTGCCAGTGGTGCAAAACACATACGCCGAAAAGGCTTCCGCTCCCACGATCGTGGCCACGCGCCAATCACAACTCAAGCCCGATTTCCTCTGGGTAGCCTGCTCCGACGGCCGGGTCTGGCGCGTCAATTGGAAGAAGGGAACCACAGTCTACGATGAGTTCCGTACGCAGTCGCAAACGGCGCTGGACATGTCTGTGGTGTCAATCGAAGGTGCCAAAACCAAGACCGAAGTCATCTATGTTTCCGAAGCGAGGAAGCAGTCGAGAGGCGAGATCGTTGCGTACTTTGGACCCGACTTCACGCAGCCCACCTCCGAGGTCCTCTTCACGTCGAAGCAGGTTGATCAGGGCATTCATCTGCTGCGCTCGAGCGCCGATGGCAAGACTATTGTCGGAGCCACAAGAGAGGGTCTGGTTGTCGGAACCGTAGTCCCCGAGGTCTCCAAGACCGACGTGGGCCTCGAGTGCGAGTTCTTCACCTTCGATACGGCCGATATTGTCTGCTCCCTCGACATCCGAGTCACAAACAACAAGGACGGTTCAGTCCTTGACCTGATTGCAGGTGGTGCTCGAGGTGCCATTTACTTCTACAACGACATCCTCAGAAAACTGCAGAACATCAACGCGCCGAAGTCGAAAAAGGACAGTCTGCAGGGTCGCAAATACCACTGGCACAGGAGGGCTGTGCACAGCTTGAAGTGGTCGAAGGATGGTGAGCGGAGACAACTCTGGATAGCATGACGATCAGAAGCTAATCTACCTCTTAGGTCACTACATGATTTCTGGTGGTTCAGAAAATGTCCTTGTGCTCTGGCAGATGGACACCGGAAAGATGGACCATCTTCCTCATCTGTCGGGAAGTATCGAGAACATCGTCGTGTCACCCACGGGAGCATCGTACGCCCTTCACTTGGATGACAACTCCGCCATGGTTCTCTCCACCTCCGAGATGAAGCCATCGACATACATCTCCGGCATCCAGTCGGCTGCCCGATTCACATCAACGCCCAAGGACTTGCTTGTCAAGCGTGTTTGGTCGGTGTCTGATGAAGTGCGGCACCCGGTCCCTGCTGCCCTGAATCCTGCAGAGCCATCGAGACTTTACGTTTGCACTGGTACAGGTCAGCAAGCGATGCTGGCTGGTGAGCTCCAGTCGGCCCCCCTGTTGCAGTCGTTCGATATGGAGTCATTCCGCAGCATCTCAAAGCAGGCTCTAGCAAGAACCCAGCCGACGGATGTCAATATCACATCAAAGGGAAACCCCATTTCGGAACCCCGCATCACCCACGTTGCATTTTCTCAAGACGGCCAGTGGCTGGCCACGGTCGACGACTGGCAACCGCCTAAGCGTGACCTCGAAAAGGTCGCACCAGAAGCGCGTGAACAGTTTGTGAGAGAAAGACGCGAAATTTATCTCAAGTTCTGGTCTGCCACGGCTGGCGAGGAGAACTTTGCTCTGTCATCTAGAATCAACAGCCCCCACGTCACCAGCCGGCCAGAGACTGTTCTTGCACTTGCAGCAGACCACACAACGAATAGATTTGCCACTCTCGGAGACGACGGTATGGCGCGGATATGGCAGTCGAGGACAAGACAGCAGGATGGACTCACCTCCAAGGACAATGCTGGTGAGGCTTTGCATTCATGGTCATGCTCTTTGGCTGTAGGTCTCGGTAGCAATGTGGGTGCTGATGCGCTTGCCATTGCTGGAGAGACGACGAGCGAGCGCAGCGGTAGCCTGTGCTTCTCTGAGGACGGTTCGACCCTTTTTGTCGCCTTTGGCAGCTCGAACGACGGTGCTGTCTACGTAATTGACACCAAGTCTGGCGAGATTAGGTTAACTTTGGAGAACCTATGGAAGGGCCACATTCGCCGCTTGCAGGTTCTCTCTCCTTACATTATCACCCTCTCAGACGACCTAAGAGTGTACGATGTAGTGGCTGATGAGCTGCAATACGGCATCCAGCTGCCAAGCGGTCGAAACGCCGCCGCAGTGAAGGAGTTCAGCCACTTGGCAATCGACCGCAAGTCGCGGACCTTTGCCGTCGTCGTGCCCGGCGGTCAAGCATCCCAGCTTGCCGTGTTCAAGCCGGAGGAACCTGAGCTGCTGTGCGTGAGGCGCATCCCCCACCGTATCACCAGTCTCGTCTCCACCGGAAGCTCGTCTGGCTTCGTGGCAGTCGACGACGCCGCGCAGCTCTGGACCATCGCCGAGGCCACGGACCCCGCCTCCGTGGTCCTCTCGAGACCGTTGGAGGATATGCAACTGGATGGCGAACCCGTTACGGCGGACGCAATTCTGGACGACGCCATCGAGGACGAGGAGATGGCCAGCGACAATGAGCAAGAAGAGATTGCTGCCAACGGGGATGAGATGGATTTGGACGATGACGACGCCCAGCCTGCTGTCATCAATAGGCAGAAGCTGGCGGAGCTGTTTGATGCGGCGCCGGCGTTTGCCATGCCCTCTGTCGAGGACATGTTCTACAAGGTTACGGGGTTGTTGGCGACGAAGCCTTTGGGGTCATGAACCGGCTACAACACACAAAAGTTGTCAATCTATGTGCATTATACCCGATAATAGAAGAATGTAAAAGCATTTCGAATTTCATATCATTTGCAAGACTGACCACGATCTAGTGACTGGCAAGTCGGGTCGTGATGGTCCGGTGGGCTTTCAGAAAGCGCGTTCCCCGCGGCACCGAAATGCGGGGCAGACTGATCGCCGAGAGCCCCGCCGCCCCGAAGCACGTCATTCCCGACGCCTGTCACTTCATTGGGGGCTCAATCATCGGGCTTACTTCGACAGCAGTGTGTTTATACCATACACTTGCTGTCCTCATCTAAATCATACCATATGGCGTTCTACGCGAGATATTGGTGAAGGGTAGGAGGAGTTTCTAGACTACTCAAGTTGTCTTATTCTTAGTACAGCCGTTGGGTTTCTTCACACATCCTAGTGGGACAATCGTAGTGAGACACCATGTCTTTCACGTCGATTCCGATACTCGACCTCGCCTTGGCGCAGGACCCCGAGACGAAGCCCCAGTTCCTCGACGACCTCCGCCATGCACTAATGGAAGTCGGCTTCCTGTATCTCAAAAACGTCGGCATCCCCGACGAATTGTTCCAGAGAGTGATTAGGGAGGGCAAGGCATTCTTTGACATTCCGACCGAGGAAAAGTACGGCGAGCTTCTTGTTTGAGTGATGAGCTCGAAATCATAATGGATGGATGGAGCTGACGATCTACTCAGGCTTAAAATCGAGATGAAGAATGCCAAGTCTTTCTTGGGATACTCTCAACTCTCGGCCGAAATCACGGCAGGCAAGACAGACCACCGTGAACAGATTGATCTTTCTACGGAGCATCCAATCCCGGGGCCCAACGACCCGTTATACTACAACCTCCTCGCCCCAAACCAGTGGCCCTCGGAATCCGCCCTCCCGGGCTTCCGCGCCACCTTCACCGAGTACATGGACCGCATGGGCGAGATCTCCATTGCCTTCACCTCTCTGATCGCCGAGGCCATTAAGCTTCCGCCCTCCGCCTTCTCCAAATACTTCGACGCCAAACAGCAGCACAAGCTCAAGATCGTAAAGTACCCGGACCTGCAGGAGCTCGGCATCACCGACCAGGCCGTCCAGGGCCAGGGTGTCGGCCCGCACAAGGACAGCATGCTGAGCAGCTACCTCCTTCAGGCGAGCCATCACCGCGGGCTGCAGGTGCAGAACGTCCGGGGCGAGTGGATTGACGCGCCGCCGATTGAGGGGACGCTGGTGGTAGCCATTGGGCAGGGGTTGGAGGCACTCACGCAGGGGGTGTGCGTGTCGACGACGCATCGCGTGCTGAGCCCGGCTGCCGGGCAGGGCGCGCGGTTCTCGATTCCCTTCTTCCAGGGAGTAAGGGGGGATGCGGATTTTGAGGACCTGGAAACTGTGGGCGTCGGACAGGTGCCAGAGGATATCAAGGAGCAGAGGAGGGCAGTGCTGGAGAGGAATGGCGGGACGAGGCTGGATGATGTCGAGTTTACGTTCCGGAAGGGCGGGGTCGCGAAGACCCTTGGGGAGGCGACGTTGAGGAACCGGGTCAAGAGTCATCCGGACGTTGGGGAGAGATGGTATCCGGATATCTTGGCTGCGATCCGGGAGGAGCAGGCGAAGGCGGCTGCGGCGAAGGAGGAGGGGAATGGAAAGGGGGTTCCTGTGGCGTCTTCGGTTGCGGTACCGGCTCATTGAGAGGGCTATGTCTTTAGTGCAGCTAGACAGCGCAACGTCGCTTCAAGACTTTATATACGGTCAAAGGAGATCGGCATTCAGGATCTGAGATTCTTGCACTCGTGAGAATAGTGACTATGTCGCATAAGGCGACCTTGAAGTGTGGAAGCCGAGGCACGAACCATCAAAGTGAAATAGCATGAGGCGTCGGCTCTGCAGATCAAAGACAAATATCATGAATAGGATTCGTAGACTGCGTCTTTCCCCTGGAGAGTGGCAGGAGATAAGAGCTACCGAGTATCAGGACATGACTCTCATTCCTCCCCGCAACGAATCCCTCTCACAAGGGCCCCCCTTCGCCTGGAGTATCATTAGCAACCGCCGCAAGCGGTTTCAGTCAAAAGATACAGGTCTTGTTAACCACGGTTGCAAGCATGGTAGATGTGTACTCGTAGGCTCGTATTTTGTTTTCCGGTATTAAAGAGAGCAAGATTCCAATATTACGCCATTCGCTGAATGCCCCGACTCGACTCGACCAACTACGCCTCTCTCGCCCCTCGATCGCACACCACGCGACTCTGCCACAACTCCTCGCCAAGCCTTTCGCGAAAATTTCACAATCCCATAAGGTGGAGTTCCTCTCCATTATGCGGCGACAAAGGAGGGGAAGCAATCAGGAAGTCCCTTGCTGTGCTTGTTCTCGGCGTGCTCGGTCAAACTAGATGAGAGTTGAACCGTCAGTATTGCGCTCTGCTATACGGAAAGTGGCGATGTAGCTTACGCGGGCGCCTTGGTGGTCTTGAGGAAGGTGGCCTTGCAGATCTGGCACTGGATATCCTTGGCTGCGGCGTTCTGTGTGCGCAAAGGTTAGAGACGCCCATTCAGAGTACGATACAGTCTGGACGTGAGATCAATGACTTACCACCTTGAGCTGGGAGCCCTTGGGCTTCGCATCCTTGGCGTTGCGATCACGCTTCTGCTGAGCCTTTGCGCCCTGTAATCCGAGTTGTCAGCATTGGCCTGCCCCTCAATTTGGTTTCCACCGGACCCTGATCAGCGGTGGGGTGAGGGAGGTGCAGTGTGTGTTTGACATACGTTGCCCATCTTGAATGTCTGGTTGAGGAGGATCGAAGAGTTTGTGAAAGCGGGTGTTGCAAGTGTTGAGGAGTTGTCGGCTTGCGTAAGAATCGGAGGCGTTCGTGAGATTTAGGAAGAGAGAAAAGAGAAACGGCTTAAAGCGGGCGCAGACTGACAACTTTTTTTCCTCCCCTCCCCTCGGACGACCCCGTAGCGCTTCTGCATGGATCTGCATTCCAGACTGTTTTGGGCACGGGCCCCCGGGGCTTCTAATGGCTGCTCCACTGAGGGGCTGGGGTTTCTCTTCACCGACACCGACAGGCCCTGCTACCAAAGTCCGGGTGCCGGATTTTGTTGAGTTCCGGGCAAGTTCGCTTGAGAAGCCGTTTCATCCCGCCTCTTCCTTTCACATGCCTGGCGTCCGTTCTGGCCTGTTTCATTATACAGGCCCATATTTCCCGATAGAGGTTGCAGCTTTCCCACGTTGTTTGAAGATTGGATGCTGGGCTCGTCTCTGCATGTAGCTTTCCGCCCCTCCATCGACCCTGAGCTGTTGTCGGCTGGGGACTGTGCCTTCGCTTCGTATCATTCGACGCTACATCGCTCTAGTCACCTTTTTAGCCCCTGTTGATTTTTGATCCCAGAGACGCGTATGAGCTGAACCGTGTCGCAGCATCGTCACCGAGGCGCGTCAAGCTCAACTGAGGAACTGGTCTGTCTTTTAAGTGCTCTTCAACAACTTTTGCGATCACTATCTTGTTCTATTGAGATATCGTCCTTTCTCGCTTTGAATAAAAAGACTACGTGGAACAATCAATCAGACACCATACGAAGAATATCATCCGTCAACAACACGCAACAGCATGGCGAGCCCTAAGTCCGCGTCGTCGGATATGATGTCCAGCAAAGAGTTTCAACGACTGCTCGCCAATTATGAACCTCTCATCGACTCCATCTCAGTCTCTAAAGGCGGTATGTCGGCCCTTGATCGCGGTCTCTCCCACATTTACACGAGGCCCGCCGGCAGAGTATCTGACTCTGCCATGTAGCCAAGGCTGGCCAGAAGACCCTGCAAGAACTTGATCAGTTCCGTTTCGTCGATGCGCCGGCCCTCTTTTCGCAGGATGATCCGAAGCGAGCTATGGAGCATGACGATGTCAAACTTCTCGTTGACTGGAAACTGTGAGTACCTATTTCCCCTCATGTCCCGTTGCCACCGTCGACATTACACTCGGAGCTTCGGTTCAGACTACCGTTGCAACGTTGCATTGAACGATTGATTTTGAGGTCACACACATCCATTTCTCTCGTGATTGGTATAACTTTAATTGCTCACTTTTCCATTTGCAGCCGTCATGGGAAATTTCGTCCGACGCTGATGAAGTTCGTGTCGTCTAATGACTCCGCAGCTGTCCAGAAGACCGTCAAAGAAGCTATCGACAGCTACCGAGACACAGCTGACCTTTCCGCTGCGCTAAATATACTGACCAAGCTGAAGGGGATCGGTCCCGCCACAGCTTCGCTTCTTCTGGCAGTTCACTATCCTCAAAAAGTCCTTTTCTTCTCTGATGAGGCATACTACTGGCTGTGCAACAAGGGCCAGAAAGCTTCACTCAAGTATAACATGAAGGAGTATGAGTCTCTCAATGCTGAGGCAAGAAAGCTCATGAAAGATCTCGACGTTTCGGCAATTGAGGTCGAGAAAGTGGCTTATGTCCTACTCAAACAAGATGGTTCTGTCCCGAAGCCTGCCCCGGACGACTCCACACCGAAGCCTACCAAGACTGAGCCCACGAGGCCCAAAAAGCCAGCTTCGGCAAAGAGGAAGAAGAGTCCCGAAGGAGCAGTTGAGGACAAGGTTCCAGTCAGACGATCGAAACGCGGGAAGGCGGCATAATAAGCTTATTCAGGTCAGGCGTTCGGATGGTGGAAAATGTGCCCGCCCGAAATGTGGTAGATAACAGTCACAGACCAGTTGGGACGATATGATCCAATCCGGATCGACGGATCTACCGGACTGTATCCGTGTTGCATGCATCTACAGCCGGAAGAGCTGGTGATGGTGCTTCATCATGTCCCGAATCCAGGGCTACGAGGACAACGATTCTCAAAGTGATGGCTCGCATCCTCTTATTCAATTACTTTACTTTCCGAAAATTTTCCCATTGGTCTTGGATGGAAGGAAAGGATCGCACGGAGATCGTTGCGGCACAGCGGCCCGTCTGCAGCGTCGTCAGCGAGAAGGAGTGCCTTCCACTACTGGGCCGTGGCGACCCGACCTTTTCCCGGCCCCGCGTGATCTAGACCCCGGAACCCAGTCGGCAGCGGACATCGATACTACCTACGTAGTACTGTCGCTTTGGGAGCATGGTCCAACTGGTGGTTTGCAACACGAACACGCGACACCAAGGTTCTGCGAGTACGACATTGTGCTCTGCAGCCGTTTGTTCCGCATCATGGACGACGAAATGTTTGAAGATCAATATGGGCAGGGCGATGATGATACCTTGCCCCCGCCACCCCCAGATTTCTCATCTATGCCCGACGACCTGTTCTCTCAACTTCTCTCACCTTTTGACACCCCCAGTTTGCTTTGGTCTCAGTCCTTCCCAATTGCTCTAGACAACCATCCAAGAGGATTTATGCGCGCCGACGAAATCTTCACAGAGAACGGTGGGCCGATCCCGCTGCCACCGAGGTTCGCTCAGATCAAGCGAAGTCTTGTCGCGGGGAAGGAGTACGCAATAGTGCAATCGTGGGAACGTCTGTTAGTCGCCCTCCGCGCCGAGATCGCGGTGATTGGCGTCACCAAGTCCGATATCATTCCAACCATTGACTTCTCGGAGCTCCAAGATCACTCCCGCGTGTCCGAGTTCGCCGCCAAGCTCCGACGCCGAGGTGGTGCCGTCATTCGCAACGTCGTACCGGCCTCGGAAGCCCATGCTTGGCGGGAGGAGACGGAGACTTACCTCTCAGACAACCCACATACCAAGGGCTGGCCAACGCGCGACCCTCACCTCTTTGGAATTTACTGGTCCCCGGCACAGATCAAGGGCCGTGCTCATCCCAATGTCCTCGCCGCCCAGCGCTTCTTGATGGGCCTCTGGCGGCCCCGGGATCCGAACGCTCCCGTGGCGGTTGATCACCCCGTGGCATACGCCGACCGTCTAAGGATACGTACCCCCGGAGATGAGGCCTGGCATTTGAATGCTCACGTCGATGGTGGCAGCGTTGAGCGTTGGGAGAGCGATGGCTACGGGAACGCTGGAACATATCAGCGGATCTGGGACGGACGGTGGGAGGACTATGACCCCTGGGACAGCAGCACCCGACTCAAGGTTACCTCAGACCTCTACAACGGCGCGGGCTCATGCAGCATGTTCCGCATGTTCCAAGGCTGGCTCTCCATGTCCGATATCAACCCGGCCGATGGCACCCTTCTGCTTTGCCCAATGCTCCAGCTCGCCACGGCCTATTTCCTCTTACGCCCTTTCTTCTCGCCACGCAATTCCACGCCGACTTCTCCAGACTTCCTCGCACGTGAGAATTGGGCGTTGGACTTCGCCCAAACGAGCTTCATCCAGGGCGCCGTGCCGTCGTACACACAAGAACTCAACTCAGTACTTCACCCGCACCTACAGCTTGACAAGTCTCTCGTGCGCATCCCACCTGTTCGACCTGGTGACTACGTTGTCTGGCACCCGGACATGGTGTACGGTGTTGACAGGGTGCCGGTGTCGTCGGCGCCTGCGACAATTATGTACATCCCGGCCTGCCCCCTGACGCAGACCAACGCGCTATACCTCGCCCGCCAGCGCAAGGCGTTCCTCCTCGGTCAGCCGAGCCCAGACTTTGGGGGCGGTAAAGGGGAGACGACGCACATGGGTCGACCAGGCGTGCAAGAGGTCAGCGATGCGGGCGGGGAGGACGGACTGAGGGCTATGGGTTTGTTGCCGTGGGAGGATAAGGAAGGGAAGAGTCCAACAGAGAAGGCGCTGGTAAGGATGGCGAATGCGATCTTGTTCCCTGAGAGCTACGATATGGTTTAGTAAATGCAAAAATGGGAAGGCTGCAAGGCGTTTGGGTTGATACCTTTGTACACTTCCGGGCACGCATACTGTTTTGGACGGGGAAAAGGAAGGAAAAACTAGCGGGATATGGCAAAATTGACAAAAGGTCTTGGCTAGACCGCTGGGTCACTCGCAAATACTGACACCGTTCTGGGCGTTTGCCTTGAATCGTAATGGTCACCTCAACCGAAGAATAGAGTCCATCATGTAGTCTTGATCTGTCAACAAGACTCTGTTATGGCGTATGTGAGCGTGGGTGAGCTGCACGCTACTTTGACATATCTGGGATGGGGGGACAAGTTGGTCAAGACAAGACAATCCCGACGACCTGGATAACTAGATCATCAACTGGGGCTGGGCTAGCACTATCAGACAATCGTAGGTCAAACCCTTCAGAGTCCATCGTCTAAAGTAATATGTGCAGATAAGAACGTAAATTCCTACTGCACAGGCGTCTATCTATTCGATACTTAGACTCGATCAAGTCCCTTTGTATGTCCCAAATAGATTTCCAATTTACACCGCCGAGTCTCCTGTAGCATCAACCGCTTCTGCCGAGTTCGTTGTTCGATCAATGAAACCGATGCCCCGGGCAAGGACGGTGTCTGTAATTGAGTGGCCCACCTAGACATCCACCCTGTCTTTTGTCCGTATGGCCCCTACCGAGTTACTGCCGGCAATCATGTTAATCTTGCGATCAACGGCTTCCAGCAGAACTTCATCCGTGTCCTTCGCTGATTCCTGCAGCGCCGCGCGGCTCGATTCGTCGTCGATATCTTCAATCTCCATCTCGGCCAGCCTGCGGCGGGTAGCATCGAGGGGGAACAGCTTTTCCAGGTCGTCGACAGGAGCAGTGATCTGGGTCATCAACTTTCCTAACTGCTTCCCGTCGTAGAGTGCCCATGTGGTCTTTTTGAGCACACTGGCGCCCTTCTGTCTACGACGAGCGAGCGCACCGGCTCGATGATGTAGACGCTGGCCCATGGGGGTCATATCCGTCATTTGAAGTAGGCTGAGGTTCTTCGGCTCGGGACTCAATTCATACCGTCTCGAAGTCTTTTGTGCACCTTGTATAAGAAGGATGATCTCCTCGATGATAGACCGTGCCAGCTCGACCGATGTGTCGCCACCAGAAGTGTCGGCTGCGAACCGCGCGTCCCCGTTGACGTTGACCGACTCACCCTATCTCCCTAACCTCGTCTGTGTGACGTCGAGCCTCAGTTGATAGACCTGATAATCGCGACCGAAGTTTCGGCCTAGTTGAATGTACTCGAAGCAAGTGACGCAGTTGTTGAAGAGTGCGGCGACGCTTAGAGCGCCCGCGAAAGTGCCGGAAACCTCGGCCATTCCCACAATTGCATGAATATTGGCATCGAGACGACGATTTTGACGTGAAGAGTGATTGAGGCTGCTGGATAATCTTGGCATCGAGTGAGCAGGGGTTTCATTGGCTCTGGTCAGACTGACCTATGTTTCCGCGCCGAGCGACGCCTGCGTGTGCCAGCCTTTCCCACCCTTGGTCTTTTCCTGCCGTGGCAACGGCGATGCCATCATCGAGATATAATCTTAAATACACTATTAAAACAGACAGAATAGTCGGTCAGACTTTATCTGAAATGGCGGACGACGACGGGAAGCGACCTAGGTAGGTGTCCAAATTCTAAGGGGTATCCGTAGCCCGCCTTAAAGCTAAGCATATACTCGTAGCCAGTATCACGAAACATCGAATAAAGTTGCATCCGCGGTCGCAAAAGACAATGGTTCTCTCCACGTCGGTAATGTCTACAACTACCGGACAAAGGATGATCTAGAACATCGCAGAATAGCCGCCTTAAAGGCTCTACATACCTCGCCGTACCAGGATCGAAAAAACAGGAATCCGGACCGTGTCTCTGGAACTTGCCAATGGTTCCTGGATCACAAGCTATACACCGAGTGGCGGGACAGTTCTGTATCCAGCATGCTCTGGGTCTCTGCAGACCCTGGCTGTGGGAAGTCCGTCTTGGCAAAGCACTTCGTAGACAACGAGCTCCCGACCACCGCAGACAGGACGACATGCTACTTCTTTTTCAAAGACGACTTCGAAGACCAGCGCAGTGCAAAGGGTGCGCTTCGATGCATCCTCCACCAGCTCCTTTTAAGGAAGGAGAAACTCTTTTCTGAGCACGTACTCAAAGTCTTCGAGGCAAATGGAGACCACCTACTTGGCTCCATCAGTGAGCTTTGGGACCTTCTCGTAAATATTTCCCAAGACTCCATGGCCGGCGAAATCGTCTGCATTCTCGACGCGTTCGACGAGTGTGATGAACGAGAACGGGCCGAGCTTACAAGAATGCTGTGCGAGTTCTACAGGAGGCAGAGCAAGGACTGCAAGCTGAAATTATGCCTAACCTGCCGGCCGTACGATCAAATTAGACGGGGTTTCGAAAGGATCGACGTTGCCAATTTTTCCATCGTCCATCTCAGTGGGGACAGCGAGGAAGAGGTGGAAAAGATTGCCCAAGAGATCCGCTTCGTCGTAGAGACTGAGACAATTAGGCTCGGGAAAGCCATGAATCTCCGGCCGAATGAGGAAGATCTCATCCGGCAACAGCTCCTTCACGTCCCAAACCGCACGTATCTGTGGGTTTATCTTACTCTTGACCTGCTCTGGAGAGATCTTTATATCGATAAGAACAGAATCCTTGCAGCCACCTCGGAGCTTCCTCAGACCATTAACGAGGCATATGACAGAATACTGAGCAAGAGTAGCAACGAAGAACGTGCTAGGCGGCTGCTACAAATAATCGTGGTAGCAACGCGACCGTTGTCATTGAAAGAGATGGGTGTGGCTTTGAGCATCCAAGACCACCACCAGTCTTACAAAGATCTAGACTTGGAGCGGGATGATGTTGCCTCCAGTCGATATGTGAGGAACCTCTGTGGGCTTTTCGTCACAGTCATTGACTCTAAAGTCTTTCTTCTCCATCAAACAGCGAGGGAGTTCCTAATACAGGGACACCAGCCGCCCCTCAAAGGTCCTAACACATCGCTCAAATGGAACGAATCTGCATTCGGCACTTACTTTTTTGCGATTTTCGAGGCCCTGTGTCTCGGACAGGGGGCATACTTTCTACTCAGTACATGAAGAATCATACTTTCCTCGAGTACTCAGCCCGGAATTGGCATGTACACTCCCAGGAATCAGGATTCCCAGATGTCGAGTCCATGTTCAAGTTATGCAACAGGCCGCCAGGCGATTCGAATGCTATCCCACCCTGGTTCGAAGCGCATTGGTCGAACTCCCATGACGGCGTCCCAAAGGACTTCACCCCTCTCATGATTGCCTCCTACTGCGGAGTGCTGCCTGTGGTGAAAAGCCTATTGAGGAAAAACCGTGATCAAGTAGGGCATGTTGATGGCAGGTATGAACGGTCTGCCTTGTCATGGGCTGCGGAGCACGGTTTCCATGAAGTCGTCGCCCTCTTTCTCAAAGACTTTCGAAGCCGCTTTCGTCGCCTGATTCAGTGGAAGAAGCCTTACTTCGAGATGGAAAGCCTCGATGGCCGAACGCCTCTGGCATATGCTGCCTTGAACGGCCACTCTAAAGTCGTCAAGCTGTTGCTTGAGGCAGGTGCTAGTCCTGATACGCAAGACAGGCTTCACGGCACCCCAATATCTTATGCTATTTGCAGTGGAAATCATGAGGTCATCGACTTGTTTACAAAGGGCCAACGAGATCCTGTGCGAGAGAAAGTTATTGATGAGCAGCTCAGGAAACTGTGCCGTTCTGCAATCGAAAATCACCAGGAGCGAATCGTAAAGCTAGTATTCGAAACTGGTCGGGTAGAAACAACGGCCAAGCTCCCCCAGGGCCCTTCCGCCGTGTGCTGTTCGACAGTTCGATGGACGTATATCCAAAGACGCTTCTCCAGCTAGCCGTCTACAAGGGGAACGAGAATATTGTCAAGTTTTTGCTCGACCGAGGTGCCCTAAGTAAATCGGAAGCAGAACATAGGCTTACACTTCTACATTGGGCTTCCATAGCAGGCAATGAGGCTGTAGTCAAGCTGATAATCAATGAAGGCGCTGATCTACATCATCCGAGTTATGAGGGAGCAAAGGAGCTCTTTGAAAAGTGGTGGGGTCTGCTCATATTCGACGTCCTAGCCGGTCGAGGTATCGACACCCGTCAATCTGAAATAGAACATGGACTCACACCCCTACACTGGGCCGTCACAGGAGGCAGTGAAGCAGTAGTCAAGCTGCTAATAGATCGAGGCGCCGAGCTACATCACCGGGCAGATGATGGAGCAAAGGCTCTTCTCTGGATGAGTGGGAGCCTAGAGGTATTCAGACTGTTGGTCAGCCGAGGCGCCGAACTACCAGGTCACCTAGACGCTAAAGAAAAGGCGTTCATGAAGGCTGTGGTAATGAACATGGAAGTTACGCTCGAGTCGCTCAAACAAACCGCTGACTCACTTCCACAACGTGAGATGGCAGATATGGAACTCCGTCTTACGTACATGGCCATTGAGTTTGAGAATACAGCCGCCATGACGATATTGCTCGAGTGGGGTATCGATCCCAATATGAGATGCATTAACGGGTCACCGATACTTCATATGGTCGCCAAAAGAAGGATGGAGAGTGTTGTTAAGATGCTCCTTGATAATGGCGCAAACCCCAATGCGAAAGATCAATTTGGCCGCACGCCGCTTCACATAGTCTGCAGCCGAAAAGCCGGAACACATACCGCTAGACTGCTGCTCGACAACGGCGCCAACGTCAATGCGGATTGCCATAAAAAACTTACGCCGCTTCATTATGCCTGCCGCGAGGGACTGCGAGGGAACATGAAACTGCTACTCGACAATTCCGCAGATCCCAATGCGAAAGACGAACTTGGCAACACGCCGCTCCATCTTCTCGCCGATGCCATAGATTTTACTGATATGTTTCAGCTGCTACTTGATAGAGGTGCGGATGCGCGGGTACGGAATAATAGGGAAGAAGTCCCAAGTATGATAGTTGAGAGACGGCGAGGCAGCAACAGCGTAAAAGGGTTGCTCAAGGACGCTTATGCCAAAGATTTTATGAATCAAGATTTCGTCTGAATGGCAATTATAGTGCTAGATTTTGCCTGCCTACAAAGACTGGTAGAAGTGACGGATATTGCAGGCTGTTAATAGGGACTTGATAGTAGCGTATTACAAGGAAGTTGTTTGCTTGGATCGGCAGCTTGACGAAATGCTTATTATTCGTAAAAACAGAAGGATACATAGATGGTGTGTGTGTGTGTGTGAATATGTGTTGGTTGTCGCTTACGACTCGACTGATGCTAGTTTTAGTTACCTATCTGTCCACTGCATCTGTATTCATTTTCATGACTGCGAAAGAAGCAGACTAGAGGTCTCGTCCAATCATGACTCCGACAACTAGGACGACTTGCTTGACTTCATTCAGAATACTTACTTACCTGCAACGGTAATTGGTAAGAGAGAAAGAAGATGAACACCAAAAGCAAAAGTTCCGAAACCGAGAATCGAACTCGGGGCTATGCCTAACCTCTCGAATAGTGAGAGGGCATCATGTTGGCCACTACACCATATCGGATGTTAATGACTAAAGATAAAAATAAGTAGAATAAGAACCTTACCTCGTCGGTGTGGCCCAACTAGTGTTAGCGCAGATGCAGCCCACCGCACCGGAGCACCCCCGAATATCGGAGCAACATCCGACTGAACCTTTTCCGAGCTGACCCACCCCGAGCGAGTCATGGCACCGGCTTCGCATTCCCATGTCCAAAAACCGAACGTGTTCGTGTCAGCCCCCAATTCTCCAGTCTTTTGGCCCTGCCGCCGTTGACTGGCCGCTGTCGTGTTCTTGCCTGCCGGTATGGATCGGCCATGCACCGGCCAGTCTCGCAAATGAGCAAGGCACCTAAGTCGCTGGATGGATAATAGTCCAAACCTAGGATCTCGAAGAAGGACCCTCACCACCACTCCAGCGCTCCGGAATTGACCCCCCCCGGAGATGCAAGTGTGGTGCCATTGGATGTGTGGGTAAGAATGACGTAGAATCGACTTTAATACAGTTCATCGAGAAACGGAGAGGGGGACTTGTCGAATGGATGGGGATGTTCTCATGGGTGGCAGCGGCCCCCGGCTTGTTGAGTGGTATAGAGACCCAGATGTAGATGGTACATCCGGCGCTGGATGTGGTTTTGTACACAATACCTTTGTCTTGGCCATTTCCTGTTTCGGTCCCTTGTCTGTCCAGCTCCTTGTCTGATCATGATCTGACTTGGGAATACTATCCTTCTCCAATCTTTGCGATACCGATATTCAGCGGGGCGTTGCGGATGCGCTCGTCGATGCAACGTAGACAGTTGAAAGATGGCGAGATCGCTCTCGAAGCCTCTGATAGCCCTTTCGCATAACCCTGGTTCCCCGTCGTCGTTCGTCAGACTCGTCAGGACTGGTAGGAGTATGACGCAAAATAGATATCATATTGGGGCTCAATGTCAATCAAACAGATGGGTATATCGTGGTTCTATCCCACTGCAACGCGACGGTGCTCCATCCACGTGTATGGCCAGGCCCAGTCCATCAACAAAAGCCCCCCCCCGTCTTGACAGAAAAAGGTTGGAACTGAATCATGTCCCGTGCAGGCGGATTACCTACGCCTCTACAAGTCTGGCAGAACTCCATTCTCCATCTTTCACGGACGCAGACCCCACCGACTCCCCAAATACTTGAATCTTAACGCCTGGGGAACTAAATTCCCCAATGCCCTGGGAATATGGGTTGTATCGGTGGCAAGGGGTCCTGTAGATTTCTTGGCGCATCTCGGAACCAGTACCCTTAAAAAGCCACCGTTTCCGAAGCGAGTCGACGACGATCACATAACGGTGGTCGAAAGCTGAAGTAGCCAAAATACAACATCCCTTTCCCCCAGGCTGTGTTTGAATCGCACACTGCCAACTTCCTTGGCCATCCCCCAAGTAGCCTCGCGAGCCTTTGCGTCGTCCAATCTCAATAGGGCAGAGTTCCCCTTCTTATCTTACTTTTGTGGTATTTCGTCTAGTCAGTGAAACCCAAACTGCGGCAGGAGTTGCCCGCTGCTCAGATAAGGAAAGGCCGGGAAGGCTAACTGGGGGCTTTCGTGTAACCCGCCGAGCTGAGATGACGTTGTTCAAGAAAGTAGAGCAACGACCCCAGCCGATGCAAAGGAGTTGGTTGCGGTGCCCCGCTTTTGAACAGATCTGTCTAAGCACTTCGGGTTCAGCGGCCAAAGTGAGTTTCCAACGTTGCCGCAGCAGTTGTTGCGCGCGAGGTGTGCTGTTCCGGCAAAGAATTCTTCCCGGTGCTAGCCAGGGCCCGAGCAATAGAAACGCGGGGGGTGAGCCGGCGTGATGACATCTAGGCATGGTCGAGGCATATCTTCTCTCCGAGAGGAGTAGGTTAGTCCCGACAAGCGTGAAGGTTGCGATTCATCTCAAGTGCAGCGAGGAGAGTTCAGAGTGTCGTATACTGAAAGCTAAGGATCCCTAAACATGCTGAGAGCTAATCTAATTAGCGTTTTGCGCTTGGTGATACCGAGAGTAACGCAGTAGTGTAGCGATTGTCTCGGAAACCAATTCCCGGCTTTCATAGCTTGTATTCTTAAATGCCCGCAAACCTCTGCGTTGATGAGAAGTAAGAGAGATAAAACCCAGAAAAACAGTAGGCACGAAGGAATTGGTCCCACCAGTAAGTTACCAGTGGGATGTGGTCAGATATCCAAGAGAACCAAGTTGTGTGGCGCTAGGCTCTCGCCTTCTATTTGCCCTTTCGTCAAAGCACCCAGAAGCCATCGCTTTCCACAGTCAGGCATTCGTGCCTCTTTCTTGCTCGACAAAATCCTACACCCAGTAGTGTCTTGTCAACGTCTCGACAGAAGAGGTCGTAGATTGGGCTCAAGAAGCGCCATGTTTGAGAGGATGCTCTCAGTCGAGTCGCTGAGTGTGTCTTGGGATGTGACGACGCTTTTAGAGGGATCTCGGCCACATCAGCCATGCCAAATGATGTCTTGGCGATCAAGCACGTACTTGGTTATTTGGATTCCCGCGTTGTGGTAAGGTTGTGAGGCCAAAGTTAGAGCTGGTGATAGCCATGTCAGGCGAGGTCCTGGAGGTGCGGGCGGATGGATGGAACTGCGCCTGCCCTCGGGTCCATGATCAAAAAGCGTCAATAGACGCAAAACGATCCTCAGGTACCTGGGCCTATCTCAGAAATCCTTGTCTGTTGATGATATGAGGTTTACTGTTCTTCTCAAATACGACATTGAGTTCATACGCATACACAGATTGTTCGACTTGTGTAGTAGGGAGGTATAAGCATCGAGCATTACATGAAGTCGCACCAAGCTGTGAGCCTCACAGCAAACGACGTGATATCGAATATCAACAATCCGGGACCAGACATGTGAAGTTGTGCTTGAGAAGATGAAACCGGTTGTCGGTGACGAGCCAATGTCAGTTTGTGCACGCGACCAATCACGCGCTTGCTGGCTCACCAATGACAGCAGACAGGCGTGACAAGCTCAAGAGGGACAGCAGCCCACGGTGCCAATGCAGGGGCCGGCGTGGTCCGTGCTCGGGAGTTGGCGAGGGGGATTCCGCAACAAGACTTGTGATACGCGGGCTGGAATTAGGGACCAGAGGCATTGAAGGCCAGCCCGGGTCACGGCGACGGTCCAGCCAATCTCGTGCAAGGATCCGTCAAGGCGCTCCAGTAAACACCTTCCAACCTCCCGCATCTTAAGGAAAGCCGACATGGGGCACCACGCCTGACCGCACTAACAAGGCCCCGTCACCGAAGTCGTGCCTTGCCAACTTGCCTTACCCGGACGCACCTTACCCTGCCCGGGGGTCTGGGCTTCGCTGGCCCTCCCGTCCGCTTGCCTTGCTTGAGCCTGGAGCCCCAAGCCTGAGCCAGTAGTGTACCAGCGCCTCCTAAACCCCGACAACACCGCCAGACCTGACCTGTGACTTGTGCCTCCAAACGTGGGAAAGCTGGGACCCTAACCGACCCAGCGGCAACCTCGCAAGCGGGCTCCCATTTTGCGGCTGGACTGGGCTCCAATTCTCCCGCATTGCATTCTGCAACCACCTACGACCACCACAAACACCAAACGCCGAGTCATCCTAATTGCAACCTCGTCGTGTAAACAAATCCTCTCACGACTCACGCCCGACGCCCGCCCCTCCCGAATCACGGCTCTCGAAACGACCTTGCCTGAGCAATTGGCCGCCAACCCCTCCGTGCCATCTCTCTCCATCTTCCCACCATCCCTCTCCCTCGCAACCGCACCGCATCCGCGACCGCGTCCCAAAACCAACCCCCGGGCTTCCATCCATATCCTCGCGAGAGGGGGGCAATGACCATCACCCCGCCGAACCATGGCTGATTCGGCCAGGTCCACGGACAAGAACCCCCGGTCCCCCCTCAAGTCCAAGGTCATCCGCTCTCAAAAGATATCGGCTCCCTCGCCCGGCGAGCCGCCGCGCCCCTCACCACCACCACCCGTCGCCGGCCTGCCCGACGATCTCGAGGACTTTAGCGACCGTGACCTCGACCACCGCCGCGTCCCCTCCGCCCCCGGCGGCCCCGTCTCCCGTTCTCATACGCCCGGTCACCTCTCGTCCAAGAGTCAGGACCGCCGCCGCAAACCCTCCGAGCTGTCCATCCGCCAGCGTTCGCAATCGGCCTCGCAAGCACAAGCTGCACAAGCTGCACAAGCTGCACATCCACCTCCCCGTACCACTCCCACGACCTCGAACCCTCCCAAGCCACCGCCGCCTTCCTCCCGACCCAGCAACACTGCCAGCGATGCCACGACTCTGAACAGCAACGATGGCTCCGAGTCCACCGGTGGTCCCGGCTCTGACCGCGATGGCCGCCGCCCAATTGCTATGCGCTCCACGTCTGCGATAGCCGGCAAGCCTTCACTCCCTCTCTCATCCACCTCGACACGCCAGCTCTCCACCATGACCTCCTCTTCCCGGTCTGCTCCAAAGGGCCAGCATATCCCCTTCCCCCCTCTCCAGGATCCCAAGACGGCGCCAGATGTCCCTCCAGCTCCTTCGTCAGGCATGTACTGGTCCCGCGCACCGGTCTCAGGGGCGCCTCACACATCACTCCGTGCCCATACCACGACGTTGGTTGGGTCCAACATATTCGTGTTTGGGGGCTGCGACTCGCGGGCCTGTTTCAACGAGCTCTATGTCTTCGACGCCGATGCCTTCTACTGGTCTGTACCACACGTCACGGGCGAGATCCCTGTACCACTACGCGCAATGACCTGCACCGCTGTGGGCAAGAAACTAGTGATATTTGGCGGTGGGGATGGGCCCGCCTACTACAACGACATATACGTTCTCGACACGACGAATTTCCGGTGGCATCGGCCCAAGATTACAAGCGAACGTGTCCCCTCGAAACGTCGGGCCCACACGGCCTGCCTCTACAAGAACGGCATCTACATATTCGGAGGCGGCGATGGTGTGCGTGCCCTCAACGACGTCTGGAGGCTCGACGTTAGCGACATGAACAAGATGTCGTGGAAGCTCGTCTCCGGACCAGAGCGGGCCCCGCCTCCCGGGGTCCGGGAAACCCGCCCGAAACCCCGTGGGTACCACACCGCCAACATGGTAGGCAGCAAGCTCATCATCTTTGGCGGCTCCGATGGTGGCGAGTGCTTTAACGATGTGTGGGTCTACGACGTCGATGCCCACATATGGAAGGCCGTCTCCATCCCGCAAACCTTCCGCCGCCTGTCCCACACGGCCACCCTCGTGGGCTCCTATCTTTTCGTCATTGGCGGCCATGACGGCAATGAATACTCGAATGATGTACTTCTGCTGAACCTTGTCACCATGACTTGGGATCGCCGGCGTGTCTACGGCCTGCCTCCCAGCGGTCGCGGTTATCACGGCACCGTGCTGTACGACAGTCGTCTGTTTATGATTGGCGGCTTTGACGGCAGCGAGGTGTTTAGCGATGTTTGGATGTTGGAATTGGCCGTGCATGCATATTATTCCCAAATCAGCCACTTCACCATCGAGGTTTGAGGTCTATCCTTCCGTTGTTATTGCTTTCTTTGTTATCTTGTCTACCATATCGTGACCTTTTGGGGGGGAGGGGGTTTCCCTCGACCTCTGTTCAACTTGTATCGTTAAAACAACACCCCATCTTCTCAGCTACAGTACTTATGCTTGATGACGGAACGGCTTCATAAAACCCCGGTGGGCGGCAGGCAGGCAGGCATGCATTTTTCCCTCTTGAATAAAGTCCTATTTGAAACCCGCCATCTGTTACTGCTTTGTCTTGTGTGACGTGACGGGCCCCGTAATGTTGAGATCTCGCGGAACCAGGGTAGGATCGTTATCTCTACTGAGCCGGATCGACGACTCCGACTGACTCGTGCGTCTACACATTCCCCCGCGTTGCTTGTACGGATGGAGATGGTACGTACGTCACTAGGCAAGGGGCAGCATCTCGGTGATCATTTGGGGTCGATTACGTGCAGCTGCTGGTCTGTTGGAGTTTGGAGTAAAAACGGCCCGCGAGGTTTGGCTTGAAAGGCCGTGGGGTGAGAAAGAGAGAGACGGAGGCTGCGAGGTAGAAGGGGGGACGTGCGCTGAGAACCACGGAGGGTGACATGCCCCCCGATTCCTGTGAGCCAAGCATGATGTGTGTGTCTCTGTGATCGAAAACGACGGCAGATAATGGCCGGAGATCGAAGCAAGTCGATGCCCGTCGGCGGCGTGGAAGCCAACTGAGCGATCTTGTTGCGTGTAAGCCGGCCGAGCCGAGTTGCTCAGGCCGGGTAATCCCCGGCGAAAACTTTGGTTTCCACGCTGGAAATAAGTCACTTGCCAGGCATAGTAGATGTGATGTTTAAAAAGGGCTAGGAATTTGAAATTAGATGGGAATTGTATTCGACGTTTCGTCCAGACTTTCTTCCCACCGCCGGCCAATTGGCCCGGCAGGGCAACACAATCTGTCTAAGCAAAACAGTTTTCGCTTGCCTCTGCACTCATAACGTTGAACAATCATGGCTTTGGGCGGGTTTTGTGAGCCCGCCCGCTTCTCTCTCATACAAAAAAACGCCGGTAATGCACCCAACCGAACAACCGCCAGCTGCTCTCCTCCAACTCCCGGGAGAAGACAAGTGCTTTTTTTCTCGAGAGCCTCTAGTTACCAAGGACATAAGGAAAATGATGCGGAAAGGAATATAGCTTGCGAAATCATACAATAGGCCCCCCCCGCATGTGAGGTGGGTGGGGGCGGGGTCTTGAGGTGGTCGGGCGACGGAGGTTTGTTAATAGGTTTTAAAATGGTAGCGTAGTTTGAACGCGTTTACTTCTGCTCGGTGGCCTTGCGGGCGGCGATACGGCGCTCCTCGGCGGCGACCATGTCTGTTTGATATCCGAATCAGTTACAAGCTCCTAGATGGGGGGGCGGGCCGGATGCGTGTTGCGCAGGGAGATAACGACTTACCCTTCCAGAGGTCCTGGCCCTCGTAGTCCTCCTTGTGGATCTTCTTCTCAATGAGGTGCTTGTGCTCCGGGTCCTCAGGGTCGATGATCATGACGGTCTCCCAGCGGCCGGCACCCTGCTTGGCGTCGTTCATCTCGAAAGCGGCGGTGACGACAAGCATGGCGACGGCGAGTCCCTGGGCATAGACACGCGCCTGAACGAGCTTCTGGGGGCCGGTGAGGTACTTGTTACGGCCGACGATGGAGAGGGCGACGCCCATGGAGGCGAGCCATGAGGCGAAGACGATGGAGTAACGGTTCTCGCGGCCCCACTCCTTGAACCTCTGCAGCGATGTCTCGTTGGCCTTGGCCTCGGCGACGGCGCGCGCGGTCGCGTCCTTGTAGCCGTACATGGGGTCCTTCTCCTTGCCGTAGCGGATCGACTCGCGGTCGGCGTGGACGATGGCGCCAAAGGTCGCGGACGAGGTGACGAGGAAGGAGCGGAAGGGCAGGGTGAGCTGGCGGAAGGCCGGGTAGCGCTTGGTCGCCAAGAGGACGCCTCCGAGGCCGACACCGAGGCCGACCGTGCCGCCAACGAGGCCGGCCTTGACGACGACCTTGTAGTGATCGGCCTCCTCTTCTTTGCTGAGGACCTTCATGATTGCGGTTTGTTTTGTGAGTGTAGAGCTGAAGTGGGTGGTGATACCAGTGAGTATGCAAGGCTGTGGTTCTGCCTTTTGGAAGAAGGATGATAAGGTGGAAGTGTGAAGCTGCAGAAGAGTCGGCTCAGGTGCGCAGCCTTGTGGTTTTGGTGTTGTCGGGGTTTGGGCTGGTGGCCGTGGGGTTGATGATGTCGTACGATGTACCCGGTGACGGATCGATGACGGATCGGGGTTCGAAGCTAGATATAGCTGCTAGCTTGCCGTTGGTGCTCGTGTGCAGAACTCAGAAGAACTGCGGATCTGATGTTGGGTATCTTTGGAGATCTGGATTGCTGATGGGAATTCTAGTGCTGAAGCGGAGTGCCAACGAGGCTTATATTCAAACGGAACGATTGGAAATGGGGTCGACAGAGCTGATGACAGAGATCTGAACGGCGATTGAAAACCTGGTGGACGGGACGCGGCGTGGGCGAAAAAAAGTCGCATTGGGACCCAGAATCGTGCCATGAGGTCGTCGCTACGGCATGATGTAATGGACCCTTGCTGCCCGGTCTTTGCCGTCCGGCCGTCCTCTTGCTCAGCGCCTTACGGCACAGCGTAGCGGTGTTCTAGCGGCCTCTCAGCGGCCTTCAGCGGACCCAGCGAACTGCGAGACTCCCCAAGCAAACACCGAGAAATTTCCGCCGTGTCTGAGTAAGCCGCGCAGGAGACCAAATCCAGTCGGCTCTGATTGGCCGGCCTCTCGCTTCCAGCCACAGGAAATGGAGAGGCCACGGGCGGCGTCGTGCTTCCACCAAGGTGTCCCGTCCCGGTCTGACCACTTTAGCACCCAATTCCTATTTTCGCCGTTTGCTCACAGCCCCAGTGGGTTATGTAAGTCCCGAGAGCTTCAAACGCCGAAAACCTGTGCTCCCCGAAGCTTCAAGCAACGTAGAGAACCCTCGCGTATCGGTGATCCTTGACACGCGGCGACGCACCTCTCGATCGCCGACTTATGTCCACAGTTCTTGATGACCGAGACCCCAGCTTCGCTTTCGGCTCTGATGTCCCGGGCAACGAACGAACAGTCGTACTGTCTGCCCAAGTAGACAAACAGGTCTGAGCGGCCGAGGAGAAGCTTCTCCGTTGAAGAGCGAACGGCCCTCTTCATCGGCCGCGCCCGAAGCTGCGTTCCGCGGCGCCCCGTGTCATCCGCGCATCCTCATAACCATTCTAGAAGCCTGTTCGTCGGGTGCAACCAGGAAGGATGGCAATGGCCTGATGTTCCAGTCTGGGCCGTCTCTAGTCTTCTGGTACGGCTCCCTCGTTCTGCGTCCTTTGCGCTTGGTTAGTGCGCCAGTGGATTCCCGCGAAGTACGCGCCCCTTGGTGCTGGGAGGAGAGTGTCTGCAAACCTCTTTTCCCCGCGGACAGCCGCACTGAAGACCATCCTCGATTTTGGGTCCGGCCATGCCTGATGGAGACTGCAGCAAATGCAGAGAATTTCTGGCGACATGTCGGCATGGACCATCATTGCGTGCACCAGCTGCATGCGGCGGATTGCAACAAGTAGACCAAATCTACCCCGCCGTTTTCGGTGTCACCTCCGGCAAGAGACTGAGAAAAACGCCCGGGGATGCCTGTGATTGGATTGTGCTCCGTAAGACCGACCTGAAGTGAACGCAGAGCCGTCAAACATTCCATCTTGGCGATGGTTAGATCAGCGTCCGAAGGCGGTGAACGAAACCCATCTCATGACCGCCTCCCGAAGGACACAAACCATCCAACCCCCAACTCTTCAACGTGCCCACGACAGTGTGCTGTACGTGCGTTGGTGCAGAAATAGGAGGGCAATCTGCCATAGGTCAGTTCTCGTCGAGTTTCGAGTGCTCTTGCGTTTCAGAGCTTCTAGATGCTCAGGGTCCAAGTCATGCAGTCCACCGGCCATCACAATCCACAGAGCTTCCACCGCCCCCCCCAATATCCAGGGTCCTCGCTAATACCTATGCGTTGCATACGGCGATATAGCTATGCCCCGTAATCCTCACCGCTGGTTGGGTGATGGCTCGTTCCGTGGTACAGAGGCTGCGCATATGAATGGCAATCGATATCATGGACTAGGTCCAGGTCCTTTACGAAGGAGATTAGGTAGTGAAGGCCTAACCTCACGCGGTGGTGACGAAGGGAGGGGGCGGTGACTTTCTGTGGTGCCTCGTTCTTCAGCCCGAACCGTCTTCTAGAAGACTTCTGCAATCCTTGCTAGGACCAGGGTCCTCTATGTGCTCCCGTCCTGCCACGTTTGGCCTCCGCCCATCAAAGACCAAGTCCCCCCTCACTGACTGCTAGCGTTTGCGCTTGCATACGACGATTCTCAATTCGCAAGTCCTCCGAGGCCGTTCTCTCCTGGCATTCGCCTTTGTAGGCCTACTCGTTTCGCGCACCTCTTACAAGCCCGTCAGACCCCAAAAACTTTCCCCTCAACAACAACCCTTTCCTCAATTGCACATTCATCCGAACCGCTGGCCCTCGGTTCTAGACCTCGCCGTGTCTGATTCATGCCTCATGCACCATTGAGTAGTTGTGCGCAGGCGGCTCGGGGGCAATGCCTTACGTTTATTGGGCCAACTGGTGCAAAACCCTTTGCCCAATGTACTCTGAGGCTCGTTCCTGGGTCAACCCTGTCTGAAGCTCTTAGATCGGCTGGCGCCGAGTCATTTGTACGGAGTGAACCCGGTGTTGAAAATATTACGTACCGACCTGTTCGCTCTGGGTTTGGTGGCAATTGGTAGTCTGGACGAATCCCGAGGTGGTTAAAGGACCCGTTCTGCCATGCTCATTCGCCGACAACAGCTGAGCATGGTCGATGAAGGGATGTTGAAACCAAAGGCAATCCCAAAGTATGTGTAAGCAGAATCGACCCATTGCTTCCGTGGAGTCGTGACCATGCAGTCTTGGCACCAAGTGAATAGGGGAGTGTTGTGTGTATAAGAAAACGTAGTGTTTCCGGTGGTGACATGCCATCATCCATTCGTGTTTTGGCTAGGGCTTCCAAACAACGTTGGTGGACGACGATTCGATGACCGAGGACAATGCAGCCAGAGAGTTAAAGGTTGGTCCACAAGGCTCACCAGCAATAACGTGCGGAATCTGCCTTCAATGTAACAATCTCCTACCTGATGGAAGAAATGTCATCTCGCGTACGGGTATCCACAGGTGGGTGGGCTTTGGAAGTGATGGGATAATCTACCATGCAGCATCAATATTGCGGCATTTCGGGCGGAACCCCGCTGCAATTCCTGGCCGTGCCGTAGGCACACTTTTGTATTGACGAACGGCCGAACGGTGCACAAACGCTGACGTTACCGTTGCCGTCTCCGCGATCTCGGCCGGCTGGTGCAACATGAGGAGGGTTTGGGACTCCGTACCTGCGGGGTGATGTGTGGGTGGTGGTGATGTTAGTGGCCCGGTAGCCACGCGTACGTAGGTACCTACTTGATCCCTCGATGTGTTCTTGTCGTAGCGGCCGGGGAGACGATTGAGGGAAGCCGGGCTTGATGGACAAGTCAACAAGGAAGCTTCGCCCAACTACCTACTATCTGGACATGGCTATCACATGCAGAGTGTGATGAACAGTGGAGCACGACTCTGCGGACGCAAGAATTACAGAAGCGCACTGGATGGATTCGAGATCGAGGTGCCAAACTCAACTTCGCACAGAGATCCGATATCTTGCGGGCACGGCGTTGTAGGCTCATAACGTGCTTCATCTGGCAGGAGACGACGGCAAACGAGTCAATCCCCTGGGATCTACAGCACTTTTGGGTCCATTGCCCTGCACCGAGTTTTTAGTTGACTTAGACTCGGAATGAAATCATGACAGGAACATAATGACAGGAACATGGCTCAGTCTCCCTGTTGCCCCAAGTTTCGTTTGTCTGAGAATATAGTCAATGGTAGGTTCCGGCGGAGGCTAGTCTTCTCTCCATCAGCTCACGCATGCCGACACGGAAAAGTAATTTGGAGCTTGCCGTACGAGGAGACTGTGTCACGGTTGTTTGCCAACAGCACGACTGTGATTCAACACCGTGGTTGGGGATGCTGGTTCGACATTTCTCGCTTCTCGCGGCTGCAGAACAAAGTAAATCTCTTCCAACTTTGTCTATAGCTTCTTCGTCCTGGGACTCGTCAAGTCTGCAGGTGAAATGAGAATGCACCGGTCTTCTCCAAACAACGAGACCAGGCTCTATGCAATGGAGCAGGGAGTATGCGTATCCATACGGAAAACGCTGTTGTGTAGTGTAGATCGCAGGTCGTTGTCTGCCGTGGAAGGTAAGGTGTCCGTGGGACGTGTTCCACACCGCCTTTCCTTTGAAGCGCGACTGGGCGACGAGAGGCCGTCACTGGTTCGCTCCAAACGGTCCTGCTCCCTGAGACAAGTCAGAATTATTGGCAAAATTGGGATTCGGCCTTTCGGCGCTAATGAAGCGGTGTTCGTAGGCGGCTTGCCCATGTTGCCACAGCTTCTGGCAGTCCAAGCCAAAACGCTAGGAGCATGTCCCTGAGCAGCAAAGTGTCAAGTGCCTCGCGCAGCCCACCCATGCGACGGTGATTTCATCTGGAGCGGGAGCGAACGCTGGGAAAGGCAGCAGGGTGTGCACGGCGAGCGTTAGGCTGGTTTTAGTTGTCGCTGCTAGCAAGGATGTCGTAGCCAAGCATAGACCTGGCGTCCCGGCGCTTGGCTTGGCTGCGTCTTTAGGGGTGCCAATGTCGAAACCATCATTCGTCGGGCCCCTAGTGGACCGGCATCGGCGGTGGGGGGGGGGATGGTTGATTCTGTTCCGCTTCTGCAGGTATTCACGCACCATGTTCCCAGTGTTCCGTTGCCTCCACCCTTGAGGTAAGGTCGAGTGTAAAGTTGAGGCAAATGCGAGTCCAGGACCCCAAAGCTAAACGTCTGAGCCAGACCGCCTTCTTTGGTGCAGGCATAGACGCTCGAGAGACCGGGTTTCTGCCACATTGGCTTCCGACGTTTCCACAGGACTCTTAGGGATATGTAATCCATCTGACATGTTGAACTCGCTTTGTATCTCTCAATTCTCAGCACCTTCGAGCAGGGAGCCGGTCGGTCTGGCTCGGAGCGTTTGTCCGGCATGGGCGACGGCGAGAGACCAAACATGTTCTGCCGAGTGCGTCGAGCAAGTGGTGGCTGGTGCCACTCCGAATCTAGAATCCTTCGAATAGTGTTTGCCTAGGGTCATGTTGTGGCCCCGGCCGCTTTGAAGCATCCTGTTTGTTCATGCAATCGTATACGTATTTGTCCGTTTGGTAAGTTCCCCAATGACACAGGACACTCTTTCGGATTTTGTCTTTGTCGATGGCGGTTAATCACCGACGGATAGCGTCCATTGTGTGCCAGAGACTTTTCACATGGAGCATGGGGTGGCCAAACAGGCCTGCTCCCGACACCAGACGTGTGGTTATGAGTCAAGCATGGTAGTTTACAAGCGGTTGTGCGGCAGCCTTGCCCAGTCATCTCGTGGTATATCCATCCGTCGGTACCGTAGGGTCCACCGCTGCAGAAAATACTGGGCTATTCGTAGTTCGCTGATGTTGATTGTCTCTGTGATGTTATTGCCAGCCGGTGGGTTGGATGAGGCCTGCCATGGAAGATGGCATTAGGCCTCTTCGCTCATCCCTCACCAATGCGATGCGCGAGCAAGTCGGAGTCGAATTGGAGAAACGTTCTCCAAGAGGCACCTACATATCGCATGGGGCATCGTCGATGATCGGATGGGTGACCGGTTGCGCGTGGTGACGTCTTATTTGGCAAGGCATGTCGACGATCAGTCTCGAGACAGTCAAGCTAACCCACCAACGAACCTCACAGCTAACGCTAGTCCCATACATGCGAATAACCCGCCAGCCAGCCTCTCGTTGCCTCGGAGGGCCCAGCGCCCCGGGTTACTCGAAGCAGGCAGGCTCGCTTTTCCCTGATTGGCAATCTGGATCGTGCCTGTCCACGAATTGGCCATGTTAGAGATGAGAAATGATGAGATAACTCGACGGTTCCAAGTCAAGTACGTATCCGTCGTATGTAGGTAGGTGACGGGATACGGCCTGGCGTGGGTGTGGTTGGGCATGGTAGGGCCGACGGAGTTGGACGGGCCCATTTAAAATACAGCAGCCATAACCATGTCGGAAATCCAAAAAGGTCTCCAAGATACTGGGTCGATCACGTAACGGTTTGGATCCCACTCCGTCCCCTGAGCTTGAGACGGCTTTCTCTAACACGGAAAGTCGAGACTCCTTCTTTGCTGTCTCCTGTGCCTTTTCTGGAGAATTAAGACGTGTTATCGTGGGCGTCAGGAGCGCCTCAAAGCAAATAAGTGGATGAAATGGTGTTTCGACCATGGAGCGTATAAGTCTTTTGGGTTGAGACGGGCTGCTCCGACAGACTGCGGACGTTGACAGACCCTCGCCTGGGCCGTCATGTCGAAAAGGGGAGCCCAGGGACATTCTTTGGGGGGCCGTCCGGGATGGTACCGGTACTTTTGGAAGAAGCCGGTGGCCGTGTGGCCGTGTGGCAAAAAGCAGATCCAGAAACGGTTCAACAAAGCAGACAGGATGAGGATGGTTCTCCTTTTGCGGTCCGGTGTTCGTCGTTGATATTACGGAGGAGCATTCCAACAATGCGAGGCACAAAGAAGTGCCTTATGCGTCGGACATGATCGAGGTAGGCCAGTAGTCGAGGAGAGAAGGAAGCCCAGCCAGCAAGTGAGATCGGGATGAAGCAAGGCAAGCAGAGAGAAGGAGAGCGAGCGAGCATGAATGTGGTTGTTACTATTATTGCCGGCTGTGGATGTAAGAACGGAGATCCATCCGCTGCTAATACGTAACGTACGGCATCCGCCCTGGAATGATGGACATAGGACGTCGAGGTGTTCGCGTGCAGGCAGACCCTCGTCTCGTTTTGATTATAGCTTCTTTTGGGTCTGCCTCGTTTCCCTCCGAGTGCCTGTGTGCTGTCTGTGGCCCCGACTTCGACCCCCCGGGCGCCAGCGAACCGATTGACGCTGAAGTCATTGCTTTTTCCTCGCCTGGTGTTCCTTCTTTGGTGGATCGTGCCACGCCCCCTGAGGTACTGCTTGCCTGGAGGAGCGCTCTTACCGAAGGTCCCCTTTTCAGGTATTGCCGTCGCCTTGTCTTGTCTTGCCTTGCCTTGCCATGCTTGACATGGTTACTCCTGCCATGCTATTCGTCGAAGTTGGCTTCGCCCCGCGACGCACTTGACTTGTCTGCCCAGCGTCTCCCTCCCTCCTTCCTTCCTTCCTTCCTTCCTTCCCTTCGTCGCCGCCTCCATCGTTCATGCGGAGCTGGAGCCCGTTCCGTACTACGTACCTTTCTTTCCTGGCCACTTCCATGTTGTTTAAGTGGGAGGGGAGAGACACCGACCAAGCATCCAATCCCATGGCAAACGGTGCACTCCTCCTCTGATTGTCTTCCGGTCTTGCCAGCCCTTCCTTTTACCTCAGGCTGGGCCGGGTTGGATGGTGTACATCAGACAAGACCAGACACTTCGGAGCGTCCTCACTTCAGCCGTCGTCCGCCGTTTGTCGTCGAGGAGTCATACTTGCAGTTGCCGGCCGTCGAGGTGTGTGTCTGTGTGGTGCCATTCGCCCGTGTCCCTCTAGCCCCTGCTCTCTTCTGGTTCTTTCCTGCCTCGCCATTGCCTGAGGTCGGGGCCAAGCTTCCATCTACAGTTCCAATTGGAGGAGAGAAAAAGGGAGAGGCGCCGCCCATTGTGACTGGGCCGCCGTTGTTGCAGCAAACTTGTGCCTCGATCTGGGAACGCCAAAAGTCAAATGTGCTGCATCGACGTGCCTGACGCCCCAAGGTTGAAAGGGGAGGGGGGAACGATACGGCTGTTGGGTTGGTCCCCATCGCCATCCCCGTCGTTGTCCTCCTGCTGTGCATGGTTCTGGTAATGGTTAGGCAATGGCCATCGATACATAGCAATGGCAGTCGAACAGGCGCGGCCAAAGTAACCAGTGACCTCGATTCATCCCACACCCCCGTCGACGTCGACGCCCCCAAACCCCCAAACATCGGCCGAGCTTTCTTCGAGGGACCGTCTCCCGTGCTCTGGCTCTGGCTCTGGCTCTGGCACTCGTTCCGCCTTATCCTATGGGTACCCTCCCACTTCTTTCCTCACCTCTCTCTCCTCCTCTGACGGTCGCTTATACCGGCCGACCTGGAGCCCGCACTGGACCGGTCAAGTACCTGTACTCTGACACCAGGACAACCCGGATTTGTTCTTGAGTCGAGTCAACGCATGCACATCTCCATCCGTACCTACCGTCCGACTTCTTATTCAAAACCCCTTTCCCCCTCCCAGCTTGCTCTTCGACGTCTGCTCCAGACCTCGACCTTTGCCAGAAACCGTTGTTACAGATCACACCGCATACACCACGTTGAACCCTTCGCTGCTTTGACCAGTCGACTTCTTATCAGCTTGTCAGACCTCGTGCATTCACAGCTGTGCTGGTACCGGAATCACCGCTAGGTATACAGCATCCACCGGAACAACCTTGTCTAGACTATAAGACGACGACTTATACATAATAATAAACAACGTCGACACCGCCCAAGCAACCACTCAACGATATATATCTTCTCTTGGGTCGTCCCGACTGACCAAACGCCGGCCCTTCGATGGTCCAAATCCAGATCGCCACAACCCTTTCCGACTTCACCCCAAGAACCTTAGGCGACCCCAGACGGAGTTTCGGTCGCAACGTCCAGGGATAGGCATCATCCAGCCGTCATCACATCACTACCTACTACACCCACTGTCGGCCGGAGTTAGGTCGGGCTCGATCCTCGATTCCCTAGAGACACGGGAGCTTGCGTGTTCTAGCAAAAACACTCAAGTCATTTTCGTTTGCCCCTCTGATTCGAGTCGCCGCCGACTTTCGACGCGACTCTACAAGTCATTACCAATACCACGCGCCGTCGTCGGAAACCCCCATCCTCGGTCGGCCCCCAGCCCACCTTTATTTGCCTCCCTGGTCGACCACGGCCACGGTGAACCATCCACTCAGTCAGGTACAGAGCGCCTTGGCCCATAGGTACCTGGCACCGCCCATTGTTCACTTCCACTTCCAGCAGCCCCCATCCATATATTTCCGCAGCGAACCGTTTTTTAACGGAACTCTTCCCCTCCCATCCTTCTCCGAGCTTTCCTCTGGAAGGGAAAACATACTACGCACTACAGCTCCTGAAGAAAAGGAGATCAGCACAAGACAAGAAGGGAAGAAAACAAGGGCAACCACACGAATAATTCCCACGCCCATTCTCCCACCCCTCTTTTTTTTCTTCCTTCCTTTCCCTCTTGACATCTTGCGGCGGCAGCACTGCTAGTTGAGACGCGGACTCGATCTCCTTTTCGGGGCGCATCCGCCGGCTGCAGCAAGTGGCCCGATTTAATAAGTACCCACAAAAAGGGTCGAGAAACGTTCTGGGAGCCACGGTCCCCTACCTAACCCAATACAACGGCTACTTCCAGCTGACATGAGGAGCGCCTTCCGCTGGTTCAACCCAACAAGTACCGAGGACCCAAGGGACCCGTCGACCCGGTCCACCGCCGCCGCCCACAACAGCGAGGACAGGCGCACGCCCAGCAGACCTGACAGCGCCAGCGCCGATAATATTAGTTATCGTGCGTCGGCCTCCTCCTTCACAACCACCACCACTTCTGCATCTTCTGCTTCTGACAACGCTGCCTTCGCGACTCCTTCGCCCGGCTCCTCCAACTCTACCTCTCTCACCCCCAACTCCCCTCCCCTCAGCCCCTCACGCCCACCGATTCTTTTGACGTTCGTGATTCTCGCGCAGGCCTCTGGACCTCCAAGCCAATCACCATCGCCACACCCACAAGCACGAGGGACCCTTCATCCACCTCCCCCTCAGTGCCCCCCGCCAAGTCCAGCTTCGACAGAAATCCGTTCGCCTTGCCCGACGACGTCTTCGACTTTCCTCCTCCCCTCCCGACCAAGAGTATCGATATGACCACTGGCCCAGCCATGGATTCCGCCATGGGTCGGAGTCGTCAAGACTCCTTTGTCAGCGCTGGCCCCAAGCCAATCTCCATGGCCAACCCTAACCGCGACCATGTTAACCGCCAACGACGAGAGTCTCTGGCAGGCAGCCTGATGGGCGGCGCAAGCTGGGGAGGAATGTCATTCGGCAGCTTCATTCGCGATGAGTATGTTTCCCCGGTTTCTAGCCCCCATTCATCGTATGCGTCTCTCGCACTATGTGGTGGCGACCTGCCGCATCTTGCACGACTCACCAGAATCGCTGCCTTTGCGCGCAACAAGTTGTACTGACTGACTTCGCTAGCATCGCCATGGCTGGAACCTCACCATTCGCCCACCAAGCCTCGCCGTCCTTCCATTCCGGTTCTTACTTGCCTAAACTCGAGGCAAGTTTCATGAAGGATTTCACTTGCTGCGGTCTGAATCTGCCCAACCTGCACGATCTTCTGCAGCACTACGAAGAATCGCATACCCAGCCCAGCCCGAACACGGCGCGCAATGCACCTTTCTCCTCTCAATTCGCCGCGATCCCCACCCAGCCGTCTTCTAGAGCCAGCAGTGCAAGGCCCCAAACGCAGCAACAAAATACCACTTCCATGTCGCAGCTCGGCCAGCAGAGTCGCCCAGGCTCCAACCTTGGCGGAGGCATGGGAGGTCTTGGGATGCAGCTTGGTCAGCAGAATATGACGGGTCAACAGCATGGACAAATGTCGCATCTTGACGAAATGGATGCAGTTGGTGACATGGAAATGGATGACGCTTTGGGCACGATGGAGATGGATGACAGCCAGAGAACAATGTCTCAGACTCGACAAATGTTTGGCCAACAGCAAAGACCCCAGTTGCACGTTAACGCCTCGGGTCTCACTCAAGGTTTGCGGACATCTCAGCCACCAACTCCTGCAGCCGCAAGCTTTGGTCTGCAGCACAACCCTACAGTATCCTCTGTCAACACGCCCACGCTTACTACCCAACAAACAACGCCGCAGCAGCAGCGGCCGAACAACGGGTTCCTCCAAAACTCGCAGATGCCATCTATGGACGACATGGACGAGGATCTGCCGGGGATGCCCATGGGCGGTAATATGGAGCTCAACGGTTCCAACTTTGGAGACGTGAGCTTTGGCAACTCCAACGGCAACAACTCCGAATTCTGCATCAACGATCCTGGCAAGCATCTTTTCAGTCCTGGTGGTGCCCTAACCAACCAGCAACGAGCAATCCAAGCACACCTCATCGGAATGGGCTTCGATCCTAGCCAGCCCAACAGCGCGGCCAACAAGGCCCTGATCCAGAAGTTTGGCGCAATGATGATTCCAGAGGAGCACAAGCCTTTCAAGTGCCCTGTCATTGGCTGTGAAAAGGCATACAAGAACCAGAACGGCCTCAAGTAAGTTTCTACCGGCTCGATGTATTAGTAAACTGTGGCTGACCATGGCTCAAAACAGGTACCACAAGACGCATGGTCACCAAACACAACAGCTGCACGAGAATGGGGACGGAACTTTCTCAATCGTCAACCCCGAAACCAGCACACCGTATCCCGGTACGTTGGGGATGGAAAAGGAGAAACCGTTCTCATGCGACGTGTGCGGCAAGCGCTACAAGAACCTCAACGGCCTCAAATACGTGAGTTCGATCCCTCTGACTTGGGTCATTGAGTTTTCAAAGCTAACCTGTAAAACAGCACAAAGGACACTCGGCGCCTTGCAATCCCGACTTCAAGTTTCTGGCTGCGGGGCTCAATAATCTCGCTAGCCTTCCAGGTCTCATGGAGAATTCGATGTCTAACCTGCCCGGTATTGGTGAAGATCAGATGATGTAACGGAGCATTTCGTCTTGCGATCCTGTCGCACTCATTGGCCAACTCATTGTGGTTACTTGCGAAGATTGCCGCGGTCACTCGAAACTCTCCAGCAACGTGACCTCGGTCATGCTCGGTCGTGGACTCGCGACTAGATATCTCGGTCACATAGTTGGCCTGCGGCATACGGCGTGGCGTTTCATTGCTTTCGTGGACGGTTCTCTGGTCGATTATCAGGTCGACCGAGTCTGCTCTTCTCCGTTTTTATACCCTCATATAGACTTACCAGTAACGCTTTGCGACTCTTCGACCACGATACAATCCCTTTCTAGATTAATACGAGCCTCTGCGACAACGAAAAAGTATAGACGGCTACGAGGCCATGATATGAGGCCATCGTTGTTGGGTTTCTCGCCGGTTTAGTTTCCTTTGTCGATAAGTTGATGGCCTCGCGTCGCGGTGTCTTCTTCTGCTATCGGAACAGCAGGCAACGGACAGGTTGGAAAGACGCCCTGAGAGCCCGTGGATGCACAGGATGTTGTCCATGGAATTACATGAAAAGAAAAGAGTAAATAAGAAGGACCATGGGGACATGATTGATGGGTCTGGTTAGGAAGGGTCTTCTTGTATGAGTTTGGACAACGAACGAAACAAAAACCATATGGGGTTGGCTTGTTTTGCATTGTGGCCATCGAGTGGCCCTTTGCTTCTATTGTTTGCGGAATGATCCTCTCCCCTCTAGTCTTGAGGGTTGCGCGCAGGACAGTTTGTTGATGAGACGCATGATTAGTCTGCAGGCGTTGAAGTCGGACACGGGATGGGAAAAGTTTCAAGTCTTTGAATTTCTTTGTTTTACAAATCTCCCAAAACATAGACTGAACGAATGAATCGAATCGAAAACCATTGTGCAAAGTGATCAAGAAAGCAAGCCTCTGTTTTGTTATTGTTCTTTGGGATATCGCTTTCTACAGGACTACAAGGCCACAACTCCAACAGAACCCAAGTCAAAGCGGAAAGCAGAAGAACCGCACCTGGAATGAAGCAAACAACACCGGACCATGCAATAAGCCATCTCACCACCGGAATTTCCACGTAAGCCATATCGTCGTTACTTGTACGCCGTCATAAGTTGAGGGGATAACCAGTGCCAGAACGCCTGGCAGCTAGGTTCGTTCTGAACACACCACTCATCATTCCTTGCTGCCTCAGTCTTGTTCCCCTTCGAAGCAAGTAGAATGCTTTGCAGGGGCAGGGGCAGTTTGCATCGTTTGCCACTTGGCATGGACGTGTCGAGTAGGAGCTCAGCTCATCTCCATGCCATCTTCATCGTCGGCCTCGCTGTCGAGCAGTTGTGTGTGGTTGCTACCAACACTCTCCTTCCGACTTACGATGGAACAACCGTCACCAAAACGTGACCCTGCTAGCCCGCCGACATACTCCAGTTCGTCGCCACCCACCACGCGGCCTTCCATGTCGATTTCCTGGGACAACTCGACCAGCGCTGATCGCGGCAGTCGAAGGAACCCTTGCGTCCGGACGATGCGCCCCCAGTGCGTCAGGCAGAACTGCGCTGCACGTTTGCGGAGCCATTCTTCATTTGCAAGTCCAGCACAGTGCCATATGATACAAGCATGATCGACATCCAGCTCCTTGGAAAGTCGATTTACGCATAGTAGTCGGAGGTGAGGAATGCCATAAATGTTTGACATGACCAACAGACCGGCCACGTCCGACAAGTCTGTGGTAGCGCCGCTCTCGTTGACGGATGTTCCATGAATACTGTCTGTGTACAGATAGTAGAGGAACGCTTTAACCACTGTGTACGGTTCAGGGATATGCATCTTCTTGGTATGGAACTCTGCCATCTGAGAGTTGTAAAGTCGGGCAAAATGCGGCCAGCGTGCTTGAAGAATAAGTTTGTGTACGTGGATTGGTTGAGACGTAGGGGCGTCAGGTGCCAACCAGTTCTGGTCAGCAGAAGCGTCAGCTACTCGACTCATCATGTCGTCGTCTTCATAATCGCCCTCCAAGGCTGTGACGACAAAGTCGGTACCACTGCCAGTTTCTGGCGGCTGATCAAACAGTTTGGCCAAATCGGCCCCTAGACCCTTGGATGGCTGGTCAATCACTCGCGTCGTTGGCCTCGACTCTATTCGTGGCTCGGAGGAGAGGTTGTTGCCGAGGAAGCCATATCGGCGCAGATCAATCTCCATAATATCGCTGTATAGAATTTCGTTAGGAAGGCATGTGCAAACGGGGACTGTTAGAATAACTCACCTGAGGTACTCTTCGAACCCATTAGGACCCAGATCTGATGCGGCTGGATCAGTTGGGCAGCCCAGCAACCAAGCTTTGGTCCCATCCTCATTCATCGTGCAATAGTGCCAGCGATAGCCCGACTTGAATATCTCGCGGCCCTCTGCAAGCTTCTGCCATCGGAGAGTGGCCAGGTCCAAAGCTGACAGAGAGCACTCCTTAGAAGTGATAGTCGCTGCTGGAGTGACGAAATCAAGGAGCGTGCCCGAAGAGTAGACATGGAAATGGATACCAGACCCTTGCGAAGGTATATTGGGCCCGGACACGAACTTCAGGGATGAGATGGTTCCGGGGCCATAGGAGCAAAAGTCTTGAGTTGAAATGATGGCGGGTTCACCTGCTGTGTTCGTGAGTTGGCAGCATACCCAGACGCACCAACAGCTGGCGGCGGATGTGCCAGTGAATAGGGTTGTCGCGGCGAGCCAACGGCTCGGCTAGTGCCTGCTTGACGGTCATAGATCCCAACTTGAGGCGCGGAGTCAAAAGCAGGACTGCCTTTGAGATCGAGCCACCAAAGGTCACCGATTTTGTCCATGTCCTCGGAAAGCCCGCCGAAAACCCATACTCTATCACCCCATATATAGGCCGAGTGGTCGAATCGACCTACAAAACGCCAAGATCGTGACCAGGTGAAGGTCTTCAGGTCGAGGTAGCAAATGTCATCCAGAACATAGTTATCGTGACCTGTGATACCGCCAACAATGAAAAGCTTGTCTTCGTGTAGGACTGCCGCGTGTCGTGCCCTGCCTTTCGGCACAGGACCTGTGACTTGGGGCTGTGTCCAGTGCGCTGTCTTCAGATTGAATATGATCAAGTCGGATAGGTAGGTCCGATGCTCATTTTCGCCGCCGAAAACGAGCAGTTTATCGCCTTGATAAAGGGTAGCCGTGTGACCTAGACTCCATATTAGATTCGACGAAAGACACTGCAAGCCATTCCAAAGAGAACTCACCCATCCGTACGCCGGGAATATCGCCGTAATTGTCCACTAGACTCCACTGATGGCTGACCAAGTCCAGTTTGAGGACGTGGTTGTACACTTCATCAGTGTACTGATCGAAGCCTCCAAAGGCATAAATGTGATTGTTGCCGCAATACGTGACCGAGGCGTTGACCAGACATGCCGGTCGCTGCCCCAAGGTCCTTGTCACTCTGGGCCGATACCCATCCAAGGTGCCTCTGTTCTTGATGGGCGAGTTGGGCATGATGTACGTATTGTTGCTCGACGTAGCCGACCCTGGTGCTTGGTCCATCGGTGACGGCGTTGGCTGCGACAGCGGAGTCGAGGCTTGGTTCGGTGTTGTCGTCAAAGCTTGGGAGGCAGGTCCGCCAAAAAGAGACTGGGACAGCGCTCCGGGTGTTGCTGGTGACGGTTGGGGCTGGGCCATGATGGGCAGCAATATTAGCGGTGCTAACAAGTCATCGCAATCGCCGAAGTCGCTGATAAGAGTATGTCTCCGACTTGCAGGCTGCTCGAGCGTGGAGTGTGAGGTTTGGGCAGCAGAAAGGGCGAGAAAATCAGGGCGAGGGCGGCTTTGTTCCACGGGAAGCAATTTTGATAACCGATGGCGATAACGAGTCGGGATGTCGCACACTGGGATGATGGAGGTCCTAATGTTCCTGCATTGACAACCCGAGGCGACTTGGTTAGGAAATCACGGGCCACCCTCCTGTCTCCAGGGTGTCTCCATCTTGCCTGCGTTCTGTCGTGGCAACTGCAGACGGTGTGTCCGAGAAGAGGGGCTCCACTGCTCATTGGCCTGAGTGATTAGCGGCAGAGCCCAAGCAGACAGTCACGTGACCGACGGCAATTCCAGCGTCTCCTTGTCGGACCGTAGCGTCAGAGGCTCCACGTCAGATTCGCAGAGCCGGCCCAAGCGTCGTTGCCCGGCCGCAACGATTGTGGGGCACAAAGTAAATAAAAGATGTGAGAGCTCCTATCCAGCTTCAAGCTCTCTTCTCTCCATATTCAACCTCATCACTTCCACTCTCCATCCTCAGCTCCTCTTGGACCGCTTTTCCCTACGCCTTCGAGCTGGGTCAAACATCTCACACAAAGTCTCTCTTCAAGAACAATCAAGTCTGCTAGATCTTATCGCTGTCCTCAGCCATTTGGTCGTCCTCCAACTTACAGCCCTTCTTGTTAAGGCACCACTTCGACTTTCGAGCAATACAACAACGACAGAATACTAACAAACAACCACAACATCCAGGAACCTTTAGCTAGAGTCTCTTGGAGCTCGTTCGATTTTCGGAGCTCTCAATACCTCCTCCTTCGGCGCATCAGTTGCATCCGTCGGAGATCCACAACTCGCTTTATCACGATACCCCACATATCCGCTAGACAAAATGGCCACTGCATCAGTATCAACACCCGTCAAGTCCCACAAGGGTCTCTTCTCTTCCCGGACTGCTGGCGGACGGATGCCTCTGACCCCTTCCCCCCGTCAGCATTCGACCGCCTCTGCTTCAGTGAACCTGAACTCCTCTCCGTTCACCCCTGAAAAGCAGTCGGGCAACGATACCTACCGCGCTTCTGGCAAGTCTACCTACAGCGGCAACCTCACCGCACACTTGGCGAGATCTACCACAACCAAGTCATCTCACCGCGACTCGCCCAAGTCCAACATTGCCAGAGGTGTCTCGACTCCTCGCCGAGCTCTGGAGCTTGGCGTCTCCGATTTCACCCTGACCAGCTCTGGAACCTCTAGAACTCCCTCCAGCGCCAAGTCCAAGAAGAGCTCCCTCAGGCAAAAGACAGCCAAGACCACTGTCAATTATGGCGGTGATCGATTTATCCCTAACCGCAGCGCCAGCTCCGCCATCTCCAACGCCGGCAGCAGCAAGCTCGATCGTCCCGACAAGCGATCCAAGGCCAGCCCTAGCGAAGCCTCCAACGTTCTCTCGTCTGCCACCGAAGACGCTATTGCTGCCCTTGAGGGCCTTAACATCGAAGATGAGGAGCCTGCTACCTACTCCCGCCCTTCTCCGAACACGGTTGCCTATCAAGACTCTCTTGCGAGCGCTTGCGGCGTCAGCCTCAACACTCGAATCCTTGAGTTCAAGCCTGCACCCCCCGAATCTTCCAAGCCCATCGACCTTCGGCAGCAGTACAACCGCCCCTTGAAGCCTGCCAGTTCCACCTCAGCCCAGTTCCGCCGTCGCGTCGCTACGGCGCCGGAGCGTGTCCTCGATGCTCCTGGCTTGATTGACGACTACTACCTCAACCTCCTTGACTGGAGCTCTGGCAACCAGGTTGCTATCGGTCTTGAGCGCAATGTTTACGTCTGGTCCGCTGATGAGGGAAGCGTCAGCTGCCTCCTCGAGACTAGCCCTGACACGTACGTCAGCAGTGTTAAGTGGTCTGGCGACGGCGCGTACGTCGGTGTCGGTCTTGGCACCGGTGAGGTTCAGATCTGGGACGTTGCCGAGGCCCAGAAGGTTCGCAGCATGTTTGGCCACGACACCCGCGTCGGTGTCATGGGCTGGAACAAGCACCTCCTGTCCACTGGTGCCCGCAGCGGACTTGTCTTCAATCATGATGTCCGCGTTGCGGAGCACAAGGTGGCGGAGCTGGTCTCGCACACTTCTGAGGTCTGTGGCCTTGAATGGCGATCCGATGGCGCTCAGCTTGCTACCGGAGGCAACGACAACCTCGTCTCCATTTGGGACGCCCGCTCCCTGTCTGTTCCCAAGTTCACCAAGACCAACCACAAGGCCGCCGTTAAGGCCCTCGCTTGGTGCCCTTGGAACATGAACCTTCTGGCCACGGGTGGTGGCTCGTATGACCGCCACATCCACTTCTGGAACTCCACTTCGGGTGCTCGCGTCAACAGCATTGACACCGGCTCGCAGGTCACCAGCCTCCGCTGGAGTCCTCACTACCGCGAGATTGTCAGTTCGAGCGGTTTCCCCGACAACTCGCTCAGCATTTGGAGCTACCCGACCTTGGTCCGCAATGTCGAGATCCCTGCGCACGAGAGCAGAGTCTTGCACAGCTGCCTCAGCCCCGATGGACAGATGCTTGCTACCGCAGGTAAGTCATGAAAACTTAGCCCCTCTCCATTCCGACCACGGCATTTGCTAACTTTTGCCCCTCAGCCGCCGATGAGAGTTTGAAGTTCTGGAAGGTCTTTGAGAAGAAGGCAGGAGCTAGCGCCGGTGTCGGCAGCAGCACTTCGTCTGCCAAGGCAGACATGGTCAAGCAGATGACGATTCGATAAACGTCTTAACGACCAAGCCTGGCGAATGTCGGTCCAACGACGTAACAAATGTAGGTATATCTCCTCTGGCATTTGTCGGTCATGGGTTCCTGGCGGTTGGGGTCATCTTCAGCGAGGAGTTTGGGTTTTGTTGCATCCGACTCTGCGTGGCACGAAAGGGCTTCTCCACGACGGGATATGAAATTGCTTGGTCATGGATAACGGCAGACGATACCATTCATTGCTGGTCAGCACGGGACAGATTGATTTTGTACTGCTTTTGAAGGAATGCACCGTGAGATACGTGCTTCTGGGTCAGAGAAGGCGGCAGAAGTTAAGTGACAGAATGCCGCCTTCAAACAAATAAAAACTGGTTTCAAGAATTTGTAAGATGCAAAGTCATTGAGATGAGATTCAGCATCTCGCCCGTGCAATTTGCGGTCCTCCCTCACCCCGCATTCCGCAGAACCAAAGCCCACTTTCTTATCGTCTTATCGTCTAAGTGGAGCCTTGGTGATCACCAAAGGTTGCAGGTAGGTGCGCCTGACTTCAGCCTTCCCACCGCGCAGCTGCCGCTTAAGCTTACTAATAGGCCAGCGCCTGCTTCGAGCCTCAAAACGAAACCCACCCAACAAAGACAACCTCGTCCATACACACCACCAAACGAAAAACAGGGCTCCAGCGAAACACCCTGTCACCATCCGGAATTAACGAGAACAACGGAGTAACCCTCACGAGAAACCGAATCCAGTCTAGCAGTCGTTGATTATTGAGTGCGCGTGCCATTCCGGGCAGCGAGAAGTGGTGGATTAGGCAGGCGAACGTTCAACGACAATTCAACAGCGATCCTCTCTGACTCGGCAACCGCAACCAGCCGCGTGACGACTAAACACTCGCGACACTCGGTCAAAGCATCGGTTTACTTCCTGAAGGAACATTGCGTTGGAGCAGCAGGTGCGGCCACGGGCGTCATACATTGGTCTTTTCCACCCCAGGCCCAGCTTCCGCTCAAATTCTCGACGGGTACCACGTGAGAACTATCAACGATTTTCACCATGTCGAACAACGCCGTCGGTGCGGTCTACGAGCAGATCATCGCCGAGGTCATCAACTCCTCGCGCGTCGATTTCGAGGAGGGTGGAGTTGATGAGAGTGTCCTCGATGAACTTAAGAAGGGATGGCAGGAAAAGCTCTCCCAGCTCGAGGTAGCCAGCTTCCCTTGGGATCCCCCGAAGGATGCGCCCGCTCCGGCTGCGCCGCCTCCGACTACTACTGCCCCACCGCCCGCCGCTTCATACTCTCAGGCTCAATTGAGCCCTCAGATTCCAGGACCCGGGCTACCTCTGCCTGGTGCCCCTCCTGCCGATCAGGCTAGAAATGCGCCAGTCAAGGAAGAGCCCTACATCAAGCCAGAGCCTGGCATGCAGAACGTGCCTATGCCTCCGGCGCAACAGGAGGGCGCTGGAATTGCGGCCTACCGTGCAGCTCAACATGTTCGGGGTCAATTCGGCGAGAAAGGCGCCGGCTCCATCAACGCCATTCAAGCCTCGGCAACCAACAGACCTGCCGGCCAACCAGCCCTTCCCCAGATGCCTGGCCAGCCTGCGCAACAACAGCAGCAGTACCGACCTGGCGCACCTCAACAAGGTCAACAGCAACGACCCCCTAGCAATGGTCAGCCAGGCATGAACCCTTCGCAAACCGACGGAGCTGGTGACGACTTCGACTTTGAAGGTGTATTACTCCAGCGCGATGCCAAGGGCAACGAACGCGAGCTCGGACGCATTGACATTGATCGCATGATCCATGCGCAGATTGCTGCGAACGCCAAGAGCATGGAGGGTGGTGGATTGATGCTGCCACTCAAGGAGGCTACGAGACACAGGTCCGCCGCCACCGCGCGCTCCAAGGGCAAGGAGCACGGCATTGCTTCCTATGACGGCTATGACGACGATGAAGTTGATGAAGATGCAATCAACTCTGATCTTGACGACCCTGACGAAGACAAGGACGAGGATGAAGTTGACGACGAAGGTTTGGGCCACATCATGCTCTGCATGTACGACAAGGTCCAGCGCGTCAAGAACAAGTGGAAGTGCATTTTGAAGGATGGCGTCCTTACCGTCAACGGCAAGGAGTATGTCTTCCACAAGGCCACTGGCGAGTACGAGTGGTAAAGCACTCTGCACTGCCCATTTGCCGAACTCAAGTCCTCAAATGACATGGGATAATACTGCATCTTCCACTCAATGGGCACACCGACGCCGAGCTCGGTGTTTTGGGAGACTACCACCTTATAGACTGGCAAAAGTTGAGAAGTTGCTCACTTGGAGCCTCATCACTATGGTTTTGGAACGGCTGCTTTCCCTTCCATTGACGCAATTTCTTTGTTTGGCCGCAAGAAACGAAGTTGGATCACGCGACCAGGTCTTTCTATCTCTTGGCCAGGACGTGACTTCATATCTATATCACTCGCAGCACTTTGCTTTCTGCCTCGACGCCCAAAGGAGACTTACCTTCATGCAAGATTCAAAAGGCTACTTAGGCCTACAGAAATCAGAAGCAAGGATCAGGAAGAGGTAATACGTCAAAAAGTAGTCGGAGGGGGTTTTTTTTTTCTTTTGCCAGGAAGGGGGTAAAAGGATGGTTCATTGAAGCCCTTCAGGTCAACTCAGGTGAAGGGGATACGATTTTGCAGAGAGGAAAGGAACGGATGGATCAGAACAAAGTTTTCTTCGTGCGTATCAGGGAGGCTGTGGATGGAATGCTGACCTCCATTTTCATTTCACGACACATCAAACCCCAAAAGTGTACAACAGCAGGATATGGGGGGTATTTTGCTCTTAGAATAGAACCTGCTGCCACAACATTCCCCTGCCTGCCTCCTCATCCTTGCGACGACGTGACCTGTCCGTGAGACTGTGACATTTCCGTGAGACCATGTTCCCTTTGTGGGACTGGCTTCCTTCCAGAGAGACTGGCTAGCCTTTGATTGCTCAATCTGCCCCGGGCCCTTCTCAGTTTATGGGAACCGCCCCCTGGTGTGAGACTTTGTTCACGTCAACTCTGGAGTCGACGAGACAAAGCTGCCCATGGCTCGCCTATTTCGATGTCTCTGTTTCAAACTCTAACATGCCCCTTGGGCCCCCTTCCTTCTATCCCTACGATCCGTGAACTGCCGCCCACCGGGCCGATGGTCGATTCCCGGTTTCTGCGGAGCTTGCGGAGATGCTCGATTCAGCCAGAGTCTCAGAGAGAGGGAGAAATGGACCATGGGGAACACTTCCTCCCGAAACCTCGCCTATCACCGCTTTTCCTGTTTCCTCCCCTCTCGATTTCCTCCTCGCCCCCCCTCCCCCTTCATCCCGTCGACCGACATTTCAAAGCAACCCAGAAATGTACACCCCCGTCTCCAAGAGACCTAGTCTGGCTGGCCGCCTTCGTCTTTGCTGTTTGAACCCCTGCGCCGGCTCTTGCTTATGCCGAGGCGAGACGGGCAGCCAGGAGCAGACTGGTGCAGAAGAAAATAAGACATGGGATCGAGACGGCCGCTCGTCAAACCTGACATTGTAGCTGTGAATTCCGTCGACTATCCTGTCCTTTTGCTCTCCGCCTTTCGTCCTCAGGGTTCTCTCAAGTATCCGCCTGTGGCGTCCGGCGCCGTCTTCCCGAAGGCTTGTGAGATTGGATCAGGAATGCATTCCTCTGCCCATGGCTCCATCAGGAAGTTAGTCAAACAACTCGCGTTGACGGTGCATCTCTTGTCCGGCTTATACGAGACGGCCAGAGCCTTCGTCCACCGGATGCCGTCTCTAAGGATCAAATCTTGGTTGATCAGGGGATCAGCATATCATCAGGACAGTCATAGACGACATCCAATCCCCTAAGCTGGCCCGGACTCTGGGATTCACAGAATACACCTTTCGTTCCGAATCCGACTCCATGCCGTCTCCTTTGGTAGTTTGTGGGACAATTGCAACTGACCGTTCGTGTGTGTTTGCTCGTTCTGGGAGACTCGCGTGGGGTATCCCGCAGACAGGTAGACTCAACGATACATGCTGCCAGTAAGGATGGGAAAGACTGCATCAAGCACGTCTGACTGTGCTAGACGCGGAGACATAAACATGTCTCCGTTGTAGGGCTTTGCAAGTGAACTGTGTTCCCTCAGTGGCGGATAGCCATTCATCAAAGAACCTAGCGGAGGACGGCACTGTTATCTTTTCGAGACAGACAGGGATACTTGGTTTACCACCTACTTCTCACTACTGCCATCGTATTTGCGATGATGCTTTGTGTCGCCCTTGTCGCTATGTTTCTCCAGTGTCTGGGATCATTGCCTACATGCTCGCCATATAGATCCGTTGGGGATGACGTGCTGGACGTCTAAGTTTTCAAGAATGAAGACATCCTGTCAAGCGTCAATCTCCGACCAAGTGCCGGCGAAGACACGTCCATCTCGACACGGGCTGGTCTCGCAGACCGGTAGTTCGCCTCTCGGTCCGGCCCTACCAGAATGGATTGCGTCTCGCTTTGTCTGACGGCGGAGACAGATCCCATCTCGCCCTCTTGCAAAGTTGTCAAACCCTTGAGCTGTTCTGCTTGGAGTTTGCCGTTTTCCTCAACTTGGCGCCCCGTCGGAGACTTCACGACTTTGGTTCGTCGTTCCTTCGAACCTCGCTCACCCGGCTGGACCAAGGAAACCAATGCTGCTCCCCACGGGCAGCCAAATTGTGGTGGGCAGACAATTTGCCATTCGAATGCCCCCGTTCCTGCGGGATTCCGATTGGCAAAGCCCGAGAGACGCGCCAACGTCTTCAGCGTACGACCTCATCATGTACGTTGCGCCAGAAAGGGATAAGACAGCCGCCGCATCTATCTCGGCCTCATTCCGAGATGGTGGGTACCGACCAAGTACCGACGTTGCATCCTACATTACTGGTTACACAAGAGAGCAGAATGCTAGAGCTGCGACTTTGTAGTGTTGATGTGCAAGAAGCAAAGACTGTATAACGGGGGGACCCAATGAATGGCTGAGCTCCTCGGTTATGAGCACCGAGGAATCACCGGAGGGCCATACATACGACGGCGAGCTCCTCTCCAGACTGGTCCACGGGGCCGAGGGGGTTCCAGCACATTGATGGGAACCATCGACAAGAACCACTCGAGGGCGTCCACTTTAACCCCAGCCCTGCCGCGTGCGTTAGGCATTCGCGTACTCGCAATGCTGGTTGTCCGTCTTTCATGACAACCCACAGCGGGTATTCGCGCAGAAACGCCAACAATGTAGCCTTCTCCAGGGCCGCCTTTCCGCCAGCAGGGTTTCATTTAAATTGCATGTCCGTTTGGGGAGCACCTCATCATCGAACGCTCATCGAAGATGCCTATAGTGGGCTTGGTTCCTGGGGATCTGATTGTCGTCTCTCTCGTGGCGGTCCAATGGCCTTTTTTTTTTTTTTTACTTCCTTTCCCTTCTGGCCTCCAAGACCCCAACCACCCTGCTCAATAACAAAAACGTGCGGCATGCATCGATCGATTGGCACCCTGGAACCGACCCCAGTGGACAATGACGGTGGCCGTTTCGTTGAGCGCGCCTTGCGCACGAGTCTCGTACATTTGCACTGGTACGGCCCGCTAACGGGGCCTCGATGCGTGCAGCCCAGAATAACAAGACAGGGTATATGCCCGTACAATCAGACAATGTTTCCACTGGCCATGGCGTGGGCGAGACGCCTGGGATTCTTGTGACAAGTCCGTCCCGTCGCTTGTTTGTCACCTTGTTGATGTGGAAATCCGGTATTTTGACGGCGCTTAGCATCACTCAGAACTTGTTGCCTGGACATGCAACTTCGGAGCGGCAAGATGACAGCGAGACGCCCATCAAGTGGCACCACCAAGACCCACTATTGGCCAGTTTTCGAGCTATGGCCGAAAATATGATCGCGAAGGTAGAGAGACACGGTCTGCGTGTTTTGCGAACCCTGGAGCTTCATGTAATACTCGTCCTTTTGTAACTTGCCAATCCTTTCGATGATTCCGGCCGCGCCAAGATGCCTGACGGAAGCAGACTAGATGTTGCAAAATACAGCTTTTGATTCGCACTGTCGTGGAATGTTGATTGCACCTCATTATCAGCACCGCGCTATTCCCGGTATTGTGTAGCTAGTCGGAGATATATCGAGTCTGCTCCTAGGCAGCGTTGCTTACCAGCTGTGATGAACCATGACCGTCAGAATATCGACATGAGAGCCAGGAACATCCGTCTAAAACATGAAAAAGTGATAGAACTCTCGGGGCATAACTTGATCGGTCATTTGGTCCTAGCCTTTAAGATGACAGCTGGACCTGCTGACCGGCGGCAATATTGGTGGTACAGATAAAGACACTGGGATTGTCAAGACTGTCGGAGATGGCCTGCATGTCGTTCATGCTGAGGGGTGGCAGCAGTCTGACTGAGCCGGCCTATTGGACATGAGATGCTGTCGTGCTCACTTGTCATCCGCAAGGAGCAGGCGATGCTGACCCGAGAACTCGGAACTGTTATTGCAGGATTGCGTCCAGGATTCTTCTCCCTGTTGGTCAGCTTCATTCGGAGATTTTGCTGTTGTGTGCTCCTCATGTCGGTCGTAGGTTACTTGAAATGGAAGAGTCTAATTGGCGTAATGAACTGTGGGCTTGGAGACTGGCATTTTATTTCACCCCGTGGTCGTGTAGTATATTGCCTGACTGTGCCGCAATACCATGATTGCAGGCTGCTAATTTTTCGTCGACGTGACCATTGATCATCAAGCCGCATATTAGAACCATATCCGGGGCTATTGTGTCGCTGACATGTGGTAGGCTATGCACCGTATATAGTGCCAGCTAGGCAAGGATCCGGGGTGTCAGGGTGAGGCAATGAGCTCGGGGTAGTTCTCCAAGAGGAATTCAATGGTAGTCCCATGATTGCGCCAGCGCCTGCAGCCCAGTACATTCCGTGCTGTAGCCATTGTGATCGGCGAGCTAGATCCAACGGCGGCATATAAGTGGCATTGCTCGACTGTATTAGCCCGCCATAGCCGCTGCGGAAGCCTTGACCGCTGCTGTGACAGCAGGGGCCGAACGAGAGCATGTTGGCCCTGATGTAACGTCGCTGAAGCTGTCCAGGATGCTCCGGTAGGCACCAACCTGGTGGATAAAG